ATACACGTTTTGCAACTTTTCTTGCAACTTTTGTTGATTTTTCTTGCAACTTTTGCTATTTTCAAATGCAACTTTCTCTGAGGACAGTAGTACAAAAGTACTGTGGACTCAATTTTTTTTCTATTCTCACCATTTAATATGAAGGGTTGCTTTTTTTCACTTCTTGAAAAATGTTCAAGAAACCGGTTACATCGTCAGAACATAAGACTGACCAATATATACACACAAGTCTAGAAGAGGAAAAAGTCTCTTATACTTGTCAAAGGCGTCTTCTTTTGGGATACAAAATAGTTTATTTTCCATTGAAAGCATCCTTAGTCAAAGCCACTTCCAACATTTTTGGGGCTTTTTCTGTTCCTGCTAAGGTTGCATTCATGCTTTTCCTACAGCAGAGTTGACACGACAGCCAAAAGACAAGTAGAAGGTTAAAGTTCGAGTCTGCCTATGGCAGAGTGTATTCTTTTGCCTGCTGAAAGAGGGCTCAAAAGTCTACCTCTTAGAAATGAAGTGTTCTAACGACCACCTGTCCAAGACATTCAACTGAACAAAAAACCACTTTGCACTTTCCCAATGCATTCACTTAAAACAACCACTTTTCTCCTCGGCAATGAATGGCTATCTAGGAGAATTTCAACTGTAACTGTTTCATTTAGAAAAGCTCACTATATAAACAATTTACATTTCATTCCCACGTTTTTACCCTCTTCGCTGCCTCGCCTGTAGAATTTACTGGCCTGAACCGTGTAGCGCTGTGCCAGTGGCCCGTAGAATTTACGGGACAGTGACAATGGTTGTTTTTACACCAATTATAAGGGAAGTTACTGCTAAAATCTTGTGATTATTATTGGGGTACCTTCCTTTTATGTTTACCTCCATTTTCCTCCCATTTGAAAGCACCGAATTCAGATTTTAGCTCGAAGAGAAGATTAGATCTAGATCTAGATCTAACATATCTAGATCTACCACACAAAAATGATATACAGGCAGTAAACACAGATGGGCTTACATGTATGAATATATATGGATTGTACGAGTGTTGTATAAGGTAGAAAAAGCCTCTTGTCACTTCTTCTTTACCTGCACACACTCACACAACATGTATTCCCTTTTTTTGGTCTCAGTTTATCATTACTCGAATGTGTGTTTATGTTGCTAGGTGAAGTTGTTTTCGGCATCATGTTACTAACTCCAACTTTCCTCCATCTATCTCTCAATGAAATTCCCCTAAAATTATATAAATAGAAATGTGGTTCAATGTAAAATGTACATGCAGAAATTCAAGAGGAAGTATTTATTTTAAAAAACAGTTATGCGATGTAGAGTGGGGTCACCACTGAGCAGCCTTGGTTCATGGGATTTTCCCTGGCTCAGGAGCCTAGTTTACCTGCGGCATTGAAGGGGTTAATTAATTATAACAACATAGATATAAATAAAACTTGCAGTAAAGTAAGATTTGCGATCAGGATAATAAAAGTGACACTAAAACTAAAAGTGTGCCTAAAGTCACCCTGTCTTTTAAATCATAGTCTTTTCCTTTCTTACTTACCTAAAGATTTCTTTATGTATGTGTAATTTCCTGTGTCAGTCTAGCATTAACTTTTTCTTGATTATGAATCCTTCTTTTTTAAAAATTTTTTTTATTTCTCTATATATTACTACCAGTATTTATGCATTGAATCTAAATTTGGTGGTGTGTAAATACTACTGTAATAAAATTTAGTTAACATGTTTCATGGCTTTTTGTTGATATTATCTTTTTTTTTAATCTCTGAAAAACACAATCAATCTTTAAACATGAGCAGAAGCAAAGGACAGCATCTTATGCAAAAGTGAGTTTAAAAAGTTATTGAAGCATATTTATTGTCCTCAGTATACACAGATGAAAAAACCTGGTTTGGATTCCAGGAGCACAGATCATTATGCGGAAACAAAAAACTGACAACATGCACTAACTCACTGTACTGTCATACATCCACCAGGGGAAAGAAAAGACAAAACGGGATGTACTGACTAAGCACACGGTTTTATATTCCAGTTTTAAAAGCTGTCCTGAGGGATGGTTAGGTTTGCGTCGAGGAATGTTTGCACCTTGTATGAAGCAGGAAAGAGTTCTCAAGTAGTACAAGAGATGAAGAGAAACAGGCTGCACATACTAGGAGTCAGCGAAACACACTAGATACAGTCTGGAAGAATCACAGAAATCGATGTACAGAAAAGTGGGAAGACATGGAATAACATCAAGAGGCTAGCCCATGATAGAGAAAGGTGGAAGGTGTTTGTCCATGGCCTATACCCTGGTGCAGGGTGAGAAAGGCAATGATGATGATGAGGGATGGTTAGGCCAATATACAACAATGCAACATGACCTTCACTTCCTAACCAACAGAAGGGCAGAAAACTCACCAATGATGCAACAGACAACCTTGTGCCAGGTCGTTCAAGTCGGATAAACTCAATATCATTTTCTTGAAGGAGATCAGGGTCTACAGATTTCGCATCTGAAAAGAGAAGTGAAAAAACACATACATTAGCAAATGCAGAAGTCTATTGTTCACTTGTTTTAGTACAGAGAAGCATATCAACATAATAACAGACATGTAGTGCTCGGAAAAATATTGATGCAAAACAGACAGATCACAGGAACAACACAGGGAAAGAAATGAAATAGGACCAACCAGTTGTGCCCTTCAAAAACCTACCATGTGTGCCTTGCACACAAATTATGGACCAATAAATTTATATTAAGAAGCACATATAATATTTTAAAGGCTTACAAATTTCTGGAGGCATCATGCTATTCCACCAGCCTCCCAACGCACTTTTTCAAAATTCAATATGGGAGGGAGGGAGGGAGGGAGGGAGAGAGAGAGAGAGAGAGAGAGAGAGAGAGAGAGAGAGAGAGAGAGAGAGATATCTATGCATTCATGCCCATAATATATTCACTCACCAAAGACGTACAGATACATACATATCAACACAGAAACATATACATACACACACACACACTTTTAAACTTAAACACACATGCTTACAGGCACACACACACAAAAATATATCATGTGAAGCGTGCTGACAAAATGAGTTACTTCTCGGATTCAAGCCCTACGGAAATAAAAAGATCACGCACATAGGTAAAGTTTTTACAATTTATAAGTATGAAATAATAAAAAGGGATGCAATACTTAAAGAATATATGGCAACAATAGAAAATCTACAAATTTGACTCTAGTGTCGTTTTTGGTCAAAATCTCCATTTGTGGATTGTGAGAAGTAACTCAAGTAACTCTCTCCCTTTCTCTCTCTTTCACACACATCCTCATGAATGAACAAACACACACACACACACACAAACAGACACACATGCACACACACACATGTACACCCACACACAGCAGACCCATGCTCAAACGTCCACACATGCTCACACATACACAAGACAAGCCCACTCACCAAAGACAAAAATGAGCACTGTGTTCACAAGCTTGAGGTTTTGCAGACTGAGTCGACTCAGCACCTCACATGTCCGGCTGGATATGGCGTCAGCATTCTTGCTGGACACATCGACATGCATCAAACGATCCGACCCTTGGAAGTAGTCCAACAGGGACCGGACACTGTTTTCAAACATCGACTGCCTCCTCTGGAGATGACAAAAGAAAAATAAATACAGTCAAAATCATTAAAGCTATTACTTATAGTGACACTGCCATGTATTCCATGAGATAGAAGGCAAACTGTTATGCTATATACAACAATGGCAACTTTTATCACACTTTTGCAGAAGGTAACATAAGGCAATTTTAGTATAGAGCTACCTTAATTTCATAAGCCAAAGAACATACTGATAAGGAATGAGAAAAAGCTTTTCTAAACTTGATAAATGTCCATTGAATGGTATGCAACAGCAGAAAAGTTAGCAGTCAGCATCACCTTCGTCCTGGACAGGTCAACCTCATCTGACTGGAAGCCTGCTTTGTCCTCCTCCGTCTCCTCTTTCACTTCCTCTTCCACCTTCTTCTGTGTCTTACTCTTGGAGCCCATGTTCAGTGAGAAGTAAACAGCAAAGGAAATCGGGTACTGAGGACGTAAATTCAGTCAGCTGAGGGGTTTTGTTTTACAGATTAAAGATCTCTTCCATCTAGACACTGTCAAACACACACACAGACAGTCGAACCAGTTCTAACGGCCACCTGTCTGAGACAATCACCTGTACAAACGACCATTTCCCACTTCCCTTCTAGCATTTTTTCTACCTTATAATGACACTGTCCCAAGACATCCACCTGTCTTACACAACCACTTTTCTCCTCAATAATGAGTAGCCATCTCAGACAATTTCGACTGTACATACAATACATGCACACACATGTACGCACAAGCACACAGGGTTGGTGATTTTTTTGATTTTTTGGATAAAAATTTAAAAAATCGATTTTTAAAATTTAAATCAGATTTTTAAAAATTTAAATCGGATTTTTTAAATTTTTTTAATTTTTTAAAAAATGACACAGTTTGGGATTTTTGGTGGCTAAAAGTATGTTCTTTTAGTGCAAAATGCATTGTCTTTATTTTAAATAATGATTAATTTAAACAACTGCAATTTTAGAAAGCCTTAATCTGCTATCAAAGAATTATGGCTACAGACAAAAAATGAAGAAAATGTCAGTCTAAAAGGAAGGGGGGGGGGGGGTAATTATGCATAGATAAACTTGCATTTTATTTTTATTACAGTGTGTGTGTGAGCACGCGCTTGTGTTTGTCTAAAAAGAAAAAGAAAATGCTAATTTCAATTATGAAAAAAAAGTAAATTGAATACTGTATTATTTTACTACTTACAGTGACAGGGGGGGAAAGCAGACTTTTAAGCAATTTTAGTCTACTAAACCTTATATCTGTTTTATAAAACCCAGGAAAGGAATTCTGAATGTTTAAAGATGTAAAAACAGAAGAAAAAAATTTTTAAGTGATTTAAATCACCGAGTTTTATTTTTTAAATCAAGTTGATTTAAAGTACAAAAAATCAACTGATTTAAATCAACCCAACCCTGGTTTTCAATTATGAAAAAAAAGTACATTGAGAACTGTATTATTTTACAGTGACAGGGGGGAAAGCAGACTTTTAAGCATGATTATATTAAAATTAGTCTACTAAACCTTATATCCGTTTAAAATAAAACCAAGGAAAGGAATTCTGAAAGTATAAATATGTAAAAACTGAATACATTTTTTTGAAAAGTGATTTAAATCACTGATTTTTATTTTTAAAATCAAACTGATTAAAAAAATTTTTAAATCAACAACCCAGCTCTGGTTTCAATTATGGAAAAAAAAGTAAATTGAATACTGTATTATTTCACAGTGAAAGGGGGGAAATCAGACTTTTAAGCATGATTATATTAGTCTACTGAACATTATATCTGTTTTATGAAACCAAGGAAAGGAATTCTGAATGTTGAAATGTGCAAAAACCGAATAAAAATTATTTTTTTAAAAAGTGATTTAAATCACTGATTTTTATTTTAAAAATCAAGTTGATTTAAATAAAAAAAATCAACTGATTTAAATCAACCTGATTTAAATCAACCCAACCCTGCAAGCACACACATATGTACACACAAGGGATTGTGCATTAGACTGTAATTCACAGCAAGTTATTATGAAGAGCTACATCTTGAGTCTCTTCAGAGGTAAGAAAACAACTGAATGTAAAAGAAATTAGAAAGCCATGGCCCACCTTCTGCTCAAACTGCTCCATGCTGCTGCTGCAGTCTTGCGAGAAGGTGGCGGTGCGGATAAGGTACTTGAGGTTGGGCATCATGTCCACTAGGTAGCGCCCCTGTGGGTTCCTGTCCACCTGGGCCGTCACTTCATGAAGGATCCACGACAAGGAAATGGAGGTCGGGTCATCCTAAGCAAGATAATAACAATGTCGAACATATTTTATGGTATTATAATTTAACCATGCAACTGGTCTCTTGAAAGTTTTACTACAAGTACAAGCCAAAAAAACCCCCCTTCAGAATTAAATGATGAGAAAAGAAACAAAAGTTAGCCTACAACACTTTAAAGTGTTTATCTGTTTGTATATTTTCATTAGGGGTGTATAGATTGTTCCGGCAATGGTTCTAGAAATAATCAAGAACACTATAGGTATATATATTACTCTATATTAGAGTTGGGGCCAGCGGACGGACGGGTTTGTTACTTGCCGACTCAGTCAGAGCGAGCGGGTAACGGACTCCGTGCGAACGGACTGCGGACCTCAACACAGTTCGTTTTTTGGGTCCGCTCCACAATTTTACTCTCTCAGCGAGCGGACTGCGGACCTTAAGCCTCAAGTCAGTTCGTTTTTTGGGTCTGCTTCACAATTTTATTCCCTGAGCGGGTGGGCAAACGGACAAACTCTAGCAGACAGCATACTCATCGCGAGGTTAGGCCCATCGTCTATTGTTTGTCAATTAGGCCTAATGTTCCAAGCTACTAACGGTGCCACAGGGAGTGAGAGAGGCTGGTAACGTAGTGCTATGTGTGTAACCTTTCACCTTGTGTGTGGGTCACACTGCGTACATTCCAATTATCGCAAAGGTCGGGGGGGGGGGGGGGTAGAGAAATTTCCGCCATGAACGCGTAGTCACAATGTGGGGAAGGAGGGGGATTTTTCAATTAATTTTCTTTGTTGTTTGGGGGGGGGGGGGGGGGGTTGTAAAATGTATGCAATGGAAGGAGTCCCTCCCCGTCCGTTCATCCGCCCGCTCGAATGCATGGAGTCTCTCCGTCCGCCCTTCCGCTCGCTCGCTAGACGAACTGTTGTCTCTGTCCGATGTGTAGCAAGTAGCAAACTACTCTTCACAAGCGGACGGCTCGTTACCCGTCCACTCATTTGCGGGTAGTGCCAGTGAGCAGTTCGTTACTCGCGGATGCTAATTTTGTGAGCCCGACCCAACTCTACTCTATACCATAATGAGGTCTATTTGGTTGTTTAATTTGCAATCTGGCATGTTGATCAGTGGCAGGGGGTTAGGCCTAGCCTATTGTCCTATTGTATAGTTTGGCTGAAAGTGTGAGAGTGAGTTTACTCAGTGTGAGTCTCAGTTCAGTTGTATTGTTTGGTGCAAGTGTATAAAAGCAGTCTGGATTACTACAGGTGAGACTTTAGAGGGGAGAGCTGTAGCAAGGCAGAGGAGGCCTGCTGAGAGTTCTGGTGGAGAAAAGGCCAGTAAGAGCCTCGGTTTATTTCTGCGTTGCGTGTGACATTCCAACGAATTGGGGCCCCATCGCTGAGGAAAGGATCACCATCCGGAGAGAAACAAGTTTGGCTAACCCCTGTTGTAGGCGAAGGCAGACAGAAGGTTAGTCTTAAACATTGTTTTATGTTCAAGCAAAATCTAGCACACACACCTGTTAACATACTTGAAGAATTAGATTAGAATTGAATTGAGCTTAGCTGAGATAAGATTAATTGCGAGTTAGCACGGTAATGTCCAACATACCTCCAACATTTTCTTCAGCTCCTGAACAGACTCCTTTCTGTCATGATTTTCGTCCTTCTCCTCAATACTGTAGGCCTCCCCAGCCACCTTTTGCAGCATGATCTTTTCCACATTAACAAATGTAAAATCAAAAACCTCCACCAGCTCAGAGACTAGACGACCCTTCTTTGAGCCAGGCCCACCTGAGGGGGGAGGAGGAGACAACATTTCCAATCAATCAATCTAAGAAAATTCTTTAAAAAATACTACTTACTAGTTTCTCTAACTTGAACTGAGAATTCAAATTACAATGAACTCTTTCCTGTACACAACCTTTTCTAAGGAAAACAAACTGCTTTTTAAGGCAGTCAGGAAAATGGTGACACTTAAGAATAAATGCACTTTAAAATATTCTTATTTTACTATTTAACTTCACGCCAGGCGCGGTTCGTCCATAGACCACGGTCGTGCAGTGCAGCCCAAAAATTTTTTATGTTCTATTGCGTAAAACACCCACAATAATAAAATAAAAGAAGCCAGAAACAAACACAAGCCAAATATTATATATCAAAACAAAGGTCCTTACTGGCGCCATAATTGTCATTTCTATGTCTATAGCGCCGTAAAACATCTACTATGCCATGCCAAAGTCCACGCGCTTTAGCTAAACAGAAAAAGATATTCAACATTGTAACCTGACCTATAAATCGCTCTTGGGGATAACCCAAGCGATGACAACACTCGTAGCGAGTTTGGCGGTACATTAATTATATTAATAAGCCGGCACATCGCAAATGTGCTCCTGCCGAATAGTGCCGAAACATAGCCCACAGTAGGCAGTCTAAAAATAAACACAATAGACCCTTCGCGCTTCTTTGCCAGTATTATGTGAGCCCCGGAGCAATCCAGCGGAGTGCTCAAGTGAACTGTGATTGGTTCATTCTTTGTCTTGCCACTATTTTAAGTGACTCTGTAGCCGTGAACCTGAGGGAGGTGAACGTGACCGTCATATGAGTTGTGCCTTTGAATGGTTTTGTAGGGGAGCAGTGAACGTTATTACTGCATGTACTTGAGTGTTCAGTTCCAATACAGGAAGAACACATTGATGTTTAGCTAACAAACAAATTCAGTACTAGAAATCAAAACGACTAGTAAAAAGAATGAAAATAAAACCACGAGGCCCTCCCTCACCAACCCAAAGATCCTAAAATTATACACCGTCTCATTTATTTAAATGACCTTGGCCTTGACTATCTTCAGTATGCCATAGCTTCATTATTATTGTGCACGCCCACTTTTTAGCCCCATGAGCCGCCCCTGCTTCACGCCTAAATACACACATTTTTCTGAATAAGTATATATATGCGATCAAATCAATTACATTTGGGGAGGAGGGGTGGTGTCCCCCCAAAGGATGGGTAAGTAAGTGCACACGGAGTCAAGTAAATGCTGTTGGTCTGTATAGTACTTCAGTTTACACTCTGGTTTCTTTTCTTGTGCTGTCAAATATATATATATATATATATATAAAATCTGATATAGCCTCTATGCAACTCTCATTCGAATTAAAAAAACAAACATTTTAAGAAATTGTATTGTCTTGATCATTAAAAAAGCAGTTGCTAAAAACAGCTTGGTTCACACTTAATACAACATTGAACTTGACCTGACCTGACGTGTGATACAAACACTCACCATATACAAAAATAATTGTTGGTCCAGAGTCCAAGACACGGACTTTTCTGCCCATCTCCACCAGTACCTCCTCCTTGGTGATCTTTCTGTACACAGCTCCATTTACGTCCGGCTTGTTGATCTTGCTGTAGCCACCACATCCCATTATCAATGAAGTCGCATTTCAGCTCAGACCATATTTGTGTTTTGCACTGGAGTTTGAAAAAAATAATGGGATAAAAAGACAGCTGTCTTCTTGTTGGTCTATATATTTTTTAAATGCCAGTCCATTGACTTGAACCCCCCCCCTCCCCAATTCAGTCCCACCCTTCTCTGCTGTAATCCCCCTCAATCTTGCTTCTCTGCACTTCGGATCACTACTAAATTCTAAATTAATTTTGTGACCACTGCGCAAAGTAGACCCCTATTCCACATCATATAAATAATCTGCTAGAGGTAAGATTTGGGGGTTTCACTGGGGCCAACATTGAGAAGTGAGAAGTCATGTTTAGTTTCAATTTAGGCTACCGGTTGAGCTGCATTAACCCTATCCGTACGCCCTGGGGTTATTTTGTACCCCCGGGGTTGTATTCTTCACATTTTAGAATGCTTCTAATATCTATATTTAGATCTAGTAAGTACGAAGATCTCTCTGAAACTGAGTATTTCTCAAAAAATCATTTTGACAGACTGCTGCACTCTATGCAAAGCGTACGGATCATATTAAACGAGTAAATTTCCTCTTTGGATAGTGGTGGCACAGTTCCCCACGTTGTATAGATACGATAATAAAACACGAATTACGAAGAGATCTAGGGTTAAAAGTTTTATTCTTCTTTTATTATATTTTTATCTCTCTTGTTTTATCAGAGGCTGCCTGTGGCTGTGGACTCAATTTTCTTTCTTTCACAAGAACGTAGCTTAGAATTCAGTGTGTGGGCTTAATGGACAACGAGCCAAATAGCAAAGATGATAGCATAATAAATTAACATTGTATAAAGAGGATTAACGTGCTATAGATCTAGAATCTAGTAAGGGGGGGGGGGGCACCCCACCTCGACAAACACTCATTTTTTAAACTGCTTGAAGAGCAGAGCAGCGAGACTCAACGCAGAAGACGACAGTGACAGTCGAAAATGCGTAAGAGGATAAAAACTCCAATTTACCGTTTCTCGTCACTGTTTAGAACGCCTGTGGAAAATCATAAAAGTTCATGTGCACAAGAACGGAAGGCTGAAGATCTGCATATTAAATGATAATCCTTTGCTTATTTCGATTTTTCACTGAAAAATAAATAATTTCTGTTGTCATAGATTCATCCGACTGTCGAAGGGTAGTAACTCTGTCAATCAAAAACGAAAACTTCCGGTATCACGTGAACTCGACTGCTGCAAAATAAATTTTGTCTTGTTAGGCTAGTTTCTTCTGTTCCTCCTGGTAGAGGACAGCGATATTTGTCTTTCATTTGTACTTTCTTTGGTTGCAGAAACGAAGCTTTTCCTGGAGGTAGGTTGAATTAAGCTTTAGTGATTGAAACGTTGATGAGTTTATGCCTCTTTTCTTACTGTAGTAGTCAGTGTGTCTGTTAGTGTCAGTATGATGGTGTCTTCACACTTCACTTTTTAACAACTATGGCCTAGACAATACAAGCCTACTGATAGCCTAATCGTGTACTTTGAAGTTGAGAACTTGAAATGCTCACTGGCGTTTATAATGCTGTTTTCGGGAAGCCATGGATCTGAATCTGGATGTCGTTCTATTTCGATCTAGAATCTAGGCCTAGATCTACATCCAGCAACAGACAGAACAGGACTGCTCTGGAGACCCTGTGCCTGTGTGTACCCTGTTCATACGCCCTGGGGTCATTTTGTACCCTTCTGGGGTTGTAGGCAGGCCTATTCTTCACATTTTAGAATACTTCTAGTGCGAAGGTGTCTTTGAAACTTTCAGTATTTCTCTAAAAATCCTTTTAACAGACTGCTATGCGCTTGCAAAGCGTACGGATGGGATTAACGAGTGAAGTCCATGTGCTCTGCACTACTGCTATTATTGCCATTGCTCCTTTTTGTTTAGGCTAGAGGAAGTGTGTGTTTTATGAATCAGACGTGTGTAAACTGGCTCCAGGCAAGAAAGTCGTTTATTAATCTTGCTTCATTATAAGATCTAGATCTAGTTCAAGTTATGAGATGTGACTGATTGAGGTGTGTTGACTTTCTCCCAGCAAATCACATGATCCAGAGACCAAAGAGCTTGTTATAGGTTCAGAAGGACTTGCGTAACGAGCGACCACCCCAGCAAACACAATATAAACGAACCCTAACCCTGGCCCAACCTCTACCCCTACCCCAAATCCTAACCCTAACCCTAACCCTCTGTTCTACTTTGTTCGCCATAGTGGTCGCTCGTTACGGAATTCCTCCCTTAAGTTCAGAGTAAGTCTTCCTTGTCTTGTGCTTAGCTCTGACTCTCACTGAGTTTTAGCTATTCACTCTTTTTAAAAAATGAATACATAATGATCCTCCTAACATCTTTCTCTGCCCTTTTGACTTCAGGTCAGCAGTTAGAAGACAATGAATATGATATGTGTATATTTGAAAACATTTCCTTGACTTTTCTAGTCAGTCTAGGAACAGTGACTAGACTAGCTCTTTTATTTGTTTGTCATTGGGGGTGTTTTTAGCCTCGTTACTAAACCAGTGTTTTTAATTATAATTAATCGGAGTGCTTATTGGCCCACAGGGGCATATAAAATTGGCCAGCACTATTTCTCCAAACGTTCGGGAAAATAAAGCTGGGCACTATTATTCGGAACGTTCGGGAAAATAAAGCTAGGCACTATTTCTCCGAACGTTTCGGAAAATAAAGCTGGGCACTATTTCTCCGAGCACTCTGAAATCACATCCTTTCCCGCAAATTTCGGATAGTATAGATCTGTTTATAGTACAGACCTACCAAAGATTGTTCGTATACAATATAATATGGTTCAATCGGTCCAAAAAATGTCCGCAGTAAATATTTATATATAAAGAAATGCTACAGTTCCAAACAGTTTTTCGCTACAGGTATGACGTGTTGCCTATGAAGGGTGCTGCTCTTAAACTGAATGGCATTCCATCTCGCACACATTTCTACAGATTTGATTGTTTGTCAGCGTATAAGATTTTTTGTCAGGAAAAAACATACAATGTACTGCCTCTATATTGCTATTGTATAAAATTGTAAAGCACTCAGAGCCTGTGTTTTTTAATCAGGGTTGAGCACTTGCCTGTCTATTTTTATTCTGTTATGACTCAATGTCTTCAGCAGGTTTCACATCTAGAGAATAGCTCCTGGACTCAAGATGGCTCAGATGTCAGAGTATTGGCTCATCTCTGCACCTGGAGAAAAAACGCCGCAGAATACATTTGAGAGATTGAATCAAGCTACCAGACCTGGCAATGACAAACTGTCAGAGAATTACAAATTCAACATTCCTGATCTGAAGGTACTGTTGCCATTTTTAAAGAGTAATTGATTTTATCTTCCCACTTATCTTGTTTTAGTGTCTGAGACTGCAAAAATTTGATGTCTTTATCATAGATTGAGGACTGAACATAAACTACAGCAGTTAAAATTTGCCCTACTACTCAAATTATAAAATATAATTTTCACTTTCCTACTTAGCAAAGCATAATAATTTAAAACTCGCACGTAGTTAGAATGTATATATAAATATAATGAATTTACAGTGTAGATGGGGTTTTTGTTGGGTTTTTTTCTCTTTTTTTCTGAGTTTTGATTTTGTTTTTTGGTCATGTTGTAAAAGTGAGTGATCCTATTTTTTTCCTTTCAGAAAATGTGGAAAGTCTTTTATGATAGACTGTGCCCACTATTTTGCATGTATTGCCTTGTACTTCATAAAATTTGTTTTCAACCTCTGTGGTGTCTCAATTAAAGCGTTGGATAAAATAAGCTTTTAGTAATCTGTTCAGTAAACAATAATGTATGGCACGAGAATGATCTTCTTCTGGTCTCCAGGTTGGCACACTTGATGTCCTTGTGGCTCTGTCTGATGACCTTGGTAAAATTGACATCTACACAGAGAGGTAAGGAATTGAGATGTGCAGGAATGTCTGTTCTTGTATGCTCAAGCTGATATTTAACAGGGGTTTGCAAATGTTGGTAAATTCCATGTATTGCGGGGGTAAGTTTGATGACTCCAAATTTGTACTTAATTTCTCCCACTCGATTAAGTCTGTATAAGCTTTGATGAATTTTACTCATTCTCAGTTCCTACAGTAAAGTATAAGATTGTCAACTCCTGGCAATAACAATGTTGGCAAGATCATAATGTTTCATTGGTCTCTCGCTGCCCTTCGCAGCTCAGTAGATATAAACTGCCAGTGGGTGGTTGGCAGGTGCCCTGGTGTGGTTTGCTTCTTCTTTCATATCAGACATCTATCGTCCTGATCTCTCCTCCTTCTTTTTCGTGTTTGTTTCTCTCTTGTAACACCTCTAATCTTCGCCACTTATGACCTTATTGTGTTGCAAGTGCCGTAAAACTATCGCTAAAACTAAACATAAACTGCCAAACCAAGACGTAACTGTTATTTGTTTGTAATTATGTTTACTATATATATAGTCCATGAGCCATTTATGGTTATTGTGTTATAAATGAAGCATAAATTCAAATTGTTTGATAAAATGTAGTTGAAATATACAGTACTCTTCGCCAAAGATTGTCAAAACGCTTTGAGTCATGTGATGTTGTAAACTTTGGCACACACCAGAAGGAAATGTCTATTCAGAGAGTAACTTTATCGAAAGATTTCAGCCAGCTGTTGAGCTGTTTTGAACTCCTTTTGTTTTCAATAGGTTTGGAGTACTGTAACATAGCAGCTTCTGTTTAATTACATGTTCCCTGCAAGGTCATAATGAAAAGCATTGGGTTCTGCTGTTTTGTTTTAAATGGGTCATGTCTGTTTTGTTTTAAATGGGTTATGTCTGTTTAGTTATTTAGTGGGTCAAGTCTGGTAATTCCCCACTGTTGTGTTGATCTTACAGCATCGTACGGAAAGTTGCCTCTACCCTAGAAGATGTGCTGGAGTCCTCGGCCAAAGGCAACCTAACAGAGAACTTGAAAATTGGAGGAGAATGTAAGTGTGAAAGTTACTTCAGTTACACTTGTTAAAAAAAGTTCTAATTCTCTGAACACAGGCTCACAGAGAGAGTTAATGGGGTTTTTTTTTAGACCTTCTTTTAATTATTTTTTTGGGTGGGGGAGGGGGTATTTTTTGTTTTGTTTAGTTGAAGCTTTTTCCTTTTCATTCAGTGAAAGCTTTTTTTTTTGTCTTCGTGAACTTAAAGCTTATCAACTAAACAATGGTCAGTTATTGCTGAGAACAGGATTACAGTAGACAAAAAAAGGCTCCTTCTTTCCTTCCTTCCTCTGGCTGGCCACCGTTAGGAGGGTGGCAATCTGCCGCAGGCAGACAGGTAAGAGGCAACCTCGTGTGGCCTCGTCCAGAGTATATCCAGGCCCCCCAAAAAGGCTCCTTCCAAACAACTGCCATTTTGTCAAAAGTTTTTGTTGGTAAGTTCTGTTTCTCAATGGCCTGTGTAAGGCAGAACATACAAATATTTCGTAGTGGTCGTTGTGGCATCTGTGATTAAGTTCTTTGCCTTGCATGCACATGGTATGAGTTTAATTACCGTGTTGGGATGAACTTTTAGAGAGTACTTTCATCTTACTGGAGCAAGAAATCCCGCTCTTCCCAGGCTGACCCAGACCAACGAGGTCAAAGCAACCCATTTGCTGAATAATCTAAACAATGTTGGTGTAGGTGAAAAACATGTGCCTCCCCTTTTACAACACAATAAAATGGTCACATTAAAGAGTTTTACAGGGGCAGAGATAGTATTAAGTGATGTTATACCTTGAGTCATTTTGAGATACTGTGTTGTCCCCTCTTTCTGGATCAGCAGCAACAGCTACAACCTGTGAATTGATCGTACATTCGTCTTGAATGCTTCTTATTTCACTTAAATGTATTGATGAAAATACCAACATCTTTGGTGTAGCAGTTAGGCGCTTTGCTGTTGTACACAGGAGATCTGAATTCAAATCCCAAGGAGTGAATGATTTTTACCAGGTATCTGTCTTTCTGCTGGCATGTTGTATCTCTCTCAGCCTGGTTTGGCCCTGACTGGCAAGTTTGGAAGCCCCCCTCCTAAATGATTTAAATGGTGTTGATGGCGGCATAAAAACTCCTACATTTCAAAACAAATAATTTTTGTCAATTAAATTCTTAGTTATTTCCTCATGAATGGATCAGAGGACAAACTACTTTGTAGGTGATGTTAGGTGTAATTGTTTGCTTTCCTCATTTTCTGTCATTCCATCCCCACAGTCACGCCTCAGGCTTATATGCAGAAGTTTTCCTGGGAATTAGCAAAGTACCCTGTGAAACAGTCATTACGTTCCATCGCTGACATCATTTCCAAGGTGAGATTTTTTTGGGGGTGAGACTTGAGTCCAACACATGTTGATGAGACTTGTTATATAGTGTGTTATTGTAGATAAATCTCTTCATAGTTGTTGTGAATTAGTAGGTATAACTCACGATAGTCTATTATTATCTTTCGTGACGGAAAAATCTTGCCTTGTTTACGATGGACCTGCTGACATGATGAGCTTCGATCTAAATTCAACACGAAGGGAGTCCTTGAGGGAGAAACCCTACAGGCATTGATCTACACGATCAATTCAGCTAATGGGAAGTGTCTCTGTGTTTTATGGTCTTTTTAGACTTTGACCCAAGGTACTCGCGGCAAAAGAATTTTTCCGATGTGTGGAACACAGTGAGAGCTGACTAGGACTGACTGCAGGTAGAATCGATAACTCAGTTTCATCCCAAACTGGTTATACAGTCTTTTAAAATAAAACTCCAGCCGTGATGGTTAATGTTTGTTCCAAATCAGACCCCTAAAGAAAAATAAGACATAGATATAGAAACATTTCTCAACTTGTTATTGTCATGTTTGAAACTAACTTCCAGTGAGAATCCCAGCCTTCAGTTCCTTCAGAAATTCTTCTAAGCATTGCGGCTGATCGACAAAGTTGACCCACTAGGCTTTTTAGTGTGCTCAGTCCATGTGGCTCGAATACAGTGCGTTTAGTGAGCCAATTTACTTCAGCAGGTTAAAAAACAGTTTTACTGCTGTCCCAATCTCAGTTTCATTGTAGTTTTGTTCAAAAATCCTGGATAGTCACTTTAGCATTGTTCTTTAGTAGTTATATCACATAGTGAAGGTTAAGTTTGAGCCTAATTTCCACTCTAAAGCGTGGATGTTAAAGGTCAAAATTTAACATATTAATGTAACTGCTTTATGTTGTTGATAGTCCAACTGGCCCTTGCTTTAATAAAAATTTAACTGTTATGTTTGCTTGAACCTATTTCCTTTGAAAAATATTCTGTCTGTAAGATATGGTGCTGCCTCAAAAGTACTCACAATCATTAACCCTTTTTGGGCTGTCCAAGTTTGAAAGATTTGTATTATTTTAATTAAAGTGATTTATACCTAAAAGATTGTGTGAGCCTTCCATAAGGGAAGTTCAAGTCCAAGAGATTGAACTTTTTGTGAAGAGCCCCATTTTTCCCATGTGCTTATTGTGCTTAGCTTGGATGAATGTGTGTTTGTTTTCCTCTATATTACCTATATAGATGGAAAGTTTAAAGTTGTCATTTTGCCTTGCACCTTTTTTTTTTTTTCTCTCGTGTAGGACGTGACCCACATAGAGTCTGAGCTGAAGACCCGCTACAACGCTTACAACAACCTTAAGGGTAATCTGCAGCAGCTGGCTCGCAAGACCACGTGAGTTGTTGACTTAAAGCACCATGACAGTCAAAATATTATTTCCTCACTCATTTTTTTACCAGGGTTCTTGTTATTCATGTGGTAAAAATGTCTGTTGTTAAAATGTTACTATGTCTGTTACTCTCTGTCTCCTCAATTTTGCTAGGTTTTATTTCGTGTATGAAAAATCCTATTTTTGACACCTTTTTTACTTTTGCAAAAGTGAAAAGGTTTACTTAGGTAGGTTTTTTAAAATAAAGTTTGCTCAGAATTTTAAAAAATGCTTTAGGCAGTCGTGTCATGACTGATGAGATGGTCACAAGGGGGCAGTGAGGGTTGAATCTTTTATCAAGTAGCATGATGCTTACCTTCCATGACAAGTGCCTAGCTTGCTTCTCGACTTGTGTAGAATGTGTTTAAATTAGTTTTTACTTAATTTTTTTACTTCCTTGATCAGAGAGTAGATCTGAGTGAGGCCTTTTCTTTTTATTCAGTGTTTTTACGCCCTCATTGTCATAATTTAGGAGGTGGGATTTGACCCTGCATGTCAGGGCTAATCTAGGTTGAGAGGGATACTCTACATTCGAGCAGAAAAACTGAGATATTCTATAAAAAATTCTACCCACCTGGAAATTGAACTCATCTTCTGTGGGGAGTTGCGAAGCGCCTAACCACAAAGCCAAGAATTTTAAGAACCTAACACCATCGTCTCGTATGTTCCATTCCCAGTGGCAGTTTGATGACCCGTAATGTTGGCGATCTGGTGAAGAAAGAAGACTTTATCCTGGACTCAGAGTATCTGGTCACCTTGGTGGTCATTGTACCCAAGTGAGTGGCCTGGATGTTTGACTCTTTGATTTGTTTTGGTTTTGGTTTTACTGGACTGAGGTTAGGCATGTGCAGTGATGAATTTTCCTCTGTCCTTACAACAGAAGACTCACCCTGCTTCAAAAGAAGTCTCTTTCTCGGTCTAGATTTTTTTCCTATTTAGACATTTCCGTTCTTACATCTCGATACCTCCCGCACACACACCCACACTCACATATCTTTGAGAGGGAGAGGGGGGGGTCATGTTTTGGAGTAAGGAATGTATTGTAATTATTTGTAGTTTGCTTAGCTAATTGTGTATTACTCATTGGGAGAGGGAAAACATTTTTAATAAGGGTCTTTGTTAGGAGTGCAAGTCCAACACAGTCTGTTCAGGTATCGATCCACAATCTTCTATGAATGAATGGCCGATAGGTCCTCCTTTGGAAGCTACCTCTCCTTCTTTTCCTTCTTCTTCTCCTCCTCCTCCTCCTCTTCCTCCTCCCATCTTTTTATCTTCTTCCTCCCTTCTTCTCCTTCTCCTCCTTGTCCCTTCTTCTCTTTTCTCCTCCTCTTTTCTTTTCTCTTCGTCCTCCCTTAATCTGCTTCAAGTAAAACATCTGTCTTGCCCTTTCTGACATGCACACTAAATACAGTGATCTGTTGGAAGACCAAGTGCGGGTCTTTCAAAATAACCTTTCTGTGCTAAAATGAGGAATAAAGATTCCTTTATACTTAATCATTCTCCCCAGGACCATCACTGATGAGTGGCAGAAGAAGTATGAGAAATTGACAGACAAGGTGGTGCCACGATCTTCAAGGTCAGTCCTTTTCCGCTCTCCCTTCCTCCCACCCTTCCTGATGGGTTAACTCACTTCAGACGGTTCACACAACAGTTGCGTGACCCCCGCGGCGACGGCTCCCACGAGTCCTGCGTGACCAACTTTGGATTTTTTTTTCGCTCTACAAATCACGCATGGATCGCGAGACCCGCCTCGTACCATTGTTTGGCCAAGCCTGAGCTACTTAGACTTCGTTTCGTATCTCTGGGGCCGGTAGTTTTTAAGTTATTGAAGGTGAAGGACAGTGACCCCAACTGGGGTTGAACAGACCGGAACTCGCGCTTTGTTTTTTTCTATACAGCTGATAGTAATCCGACAGTCGCGTCGTAGTAACGGTCGAAGAAGTCGCATGAACAAGAATCACATAATTTCGCCCATTTCTATACTTCTGTACGTTTTACTAGTTCTAGTGTCTCAGAATATGATGTGTCTAATAGTTAGGATCCTGGATATGTACCCGAACACGGCCCGAGTCGTAGTTCTAGGGCTAGATCTAGCACTAGTACCGGTGTTGTTTTTCGCGCAACGAAATCACGTCGTGCCGTACATCTGTCTCACGTAATTCAGTGTATGGGTCTGAATCAATGCACAGACCAGCTTTTATATTTTCACCAAACACTCCCACATGTATACAAATCAAACCAGAACACTTTGAACTTTTATTTTTGTTGTTGTAGTGAATTTCATTCTACTTGTCACGTCTCTGGAAATTTTTCAGAAAATCAAATTCATGCCAATTTTTTTAAAATCATGCAAATTAAAGTATTAGACTTAGACAAATTTAGTTTTTTGTATTAGATTAAGCTTGAATGTTACTTTACTGTGTCAAAAAATAATTACAATAGGGTAATTCTGAGAGTTGTGGTGATTTATTGAAATACCCCCAAAAACGCCAGTCTTCAACGCTTGTGACTGGTGAAAGGGCCCAGTCGCAAGTGACTTAAGAGGAGGGACACCTGAACAACACATTTTTCATTGCTAATGGAGCAATAGTGCTCAAACTAACATGGTATGTTGTATGGAAGATGCAGATTAAAATCAGATGAACAACATAAGTTTTTTTTTAACGGTTACCATGGAAACGGCGGCCATATTGGATTTTGTTTACATTTTTCAATTCAATATAACTCCTGAACTACTTGTCCAAATGAGATGCCATTTTGTGTGGTTACAAAGAATTGGTATAGAAACAAAGTAACAACGCCATTTTTTGTAAAGAAAGTCTCTGAAAGAAAAAAATACAAAGTGCATGAGGGTGACCTAATTTTACCAAAATTTACCAAAAAGGACTTTTCAAAAGGCTATAATTTCAAATGATTTCATTTATCATTAAAAAGGAGATTGTAATTTTGTGTGGTATACATCTGTGCACACTCATGCCAAACTAGAGAACAATATCTCAAACGGTTCAGGAGCTATAAGGATTTGAATGATGTTAATATTGTTAAAAACAAGAAACGGAGAAAAACAGCTCTAAAAGTGTTGGTTAGTACAAGCAGCTACAACACCTCACCTACCTCTCTAAAACTGCCCTGCACCATATGTTACTCCTTCCTGCTGCTGTAACTCAAGCTGTCTGCGAGCTTTGGCAGCTCTCCTCATTGCCAGTCTGTGTTTCACAGCTTTATCCTGCTTTGCCGCTGAATTCTGTAGGCGCTTGATTTGTCGACGCAGCCCAAGACGATTGCTGTGGTGACCCTGGCCAACTCCTATGCACTCCTTCAACCGAACTGAAGCATCATGGCCGAAGTTAAACTCAGCAGTTGATAGAAGAACAGAAAATTGCACCTTTTTCAGAGAAGCGAACTTATGCTTTGGGCAGCTGCTCCAGATTTTAGAGTGGAGTGACTCATTCGCATTCTGAGTGACACCGAGAAGGCAACGCTGAAGTATCTTGGGGTCAGAAAGGCGCTTGTACACTGGCTTTAGGTGTTTGCTGAGGAGATTATAATTAAGAGGTGTGTGTACAAGTGTTTTGTGTGGGCCAGGTTCCTCATTTCGAGCAACAGCAGCATTGTAGAAGCACCAAGATCCAGTGCCAGCGGGGCAAAGGTGGTGCATTGGGCGGTTGTCTGTAGAATAGCCGTGATACATCGAAGCAAGAATTCCTTTCCTCATGTCTTCCACATTCTTATTTTTTCGTATAGCTCTAGTGTAGTAGATTGAAAGCCTCCTGATAGTTTCTTGCTTCAAAGTACCATAGCCCCTCCCACCGAGAGTGATCTTACGTTTACTGCAGTCACTTACGAGGTTACGAAGAGCTGTTCCCATCCTCTTCCCCACATGGTTGACACACTCCTCCTTATTCACCTCAACATTCCTGCCATAGGGTTCCATCTCCACAATTCTGTTGTAGGCCTTTGAGTCCCCGTCTGAAACCATTGTGGTGTAGCGCAGCTTGAACTTCTCGACGGAGCGAGACCAAAGGATTTCCGCAGCACGGGTCTCCATCATCGCAGATGATCCTAGTACAGTAAAAAAAATTCAAATAAAGAACAGAATTATAAATCATTGTGTCAAAAGGATGCCAATAGTAAGTCATGGTTTTAAATTAATGTGTATAAAGGTACATTTTATTTTATTTATCCTAAATCTTGAGAAATTCAGGCCCAATCCTATGCTGTCATAGATTTCTTCATTCCTGATGAAGTTATTTCTACTTTGGTAGTTTTAGTTTGAGCTGCAACAGCAAGAACAGATTGATCTAGATATTCACATGAAAATAATATTGCCAGATCATAATAGCACAGGAGTATAAAACCTTTATAAAAAAATCAAGACCTCGTTCATGAAAGCAGACATGTAAAAAAAATTTATATATAAGAATTTTGAAAGCTAGATTTGCAAATTACAGAGTTTCTTACCTTTAAAGTTTATGTCGCAGTTGGGTTTGTGTTTCCGCTGCCATTCGTCATACACCGCAGCTGACTCTCGTTCCTTAATTTTCGCTCCAGTCTGGGAGCAGGTGTGGCAATACGTAGAGACTACGTGGAAATCAAGGACGTATCCTGTTAGCGCATCTATAACACAGCCTATGCCTATTGTTGAGGTGTGGCCTCTTGTCATCCATGTTCCATCGTAACTGACAGCTATGTCTAAAACATCGTCGTCTGCCACCTCCTGCCCATTCTCTTTCATCCGCTCTGACCTCACAAGTCGCACCGTCTTCTCCTCAGTGAGGCGCCTGAACTCTTCTGCCTTCTTGAAAACTTTGTTGGCTTTCACGTTGAACGTCTTCTTGTGCATCCCAGGAATATTCAAATGTTCACAAAATTTGTTAAACGAGCACGGTCCTAGTCCACACATCAATGCAGACGAGACCGCAGAATCATTCACAGCAAACGATTTAGAATTTTCAGTCTTTGTCGACGTGAACGAAGCACTTGGTGTTTCCTTGCAACGGTCACACACAATCTGCAACTGAACAGCAAGTCCAGCTCGGCGTCCAACACTTTCTGAAATTGTTAGAGAGCTGTTGAAACAGAAGGGGCAAAGTAAGGGACTGATGAGTTCCTGCAAAGCAGAGATCTCCACCACTGTTCTCGATGTTGATTCAGACGTGTGGGACAGAGGCACAGGTGTTGGAAGAGCTCTAGAAGCTGCAGGAAAATCAATTATCTTCTTCAATGAACGACTTGATACAGCACCTGTCGAGGTAGGAGTCGTAGTCGTAGTTGCCGTCGTAGATAGATCTAGATCTAGATCTTTTTCACTGTCCTCTGTTCTAACACTCACATGATCGTCAACAGGCTTACCAGGGCCACCAGAAAGTTTCCTTTGCGCTCTCGCTGCAGAAAGTTGACAGCGCCTCTTAGAAGGCCTCGTCATTGTATAGCGATCAAACAGGCTTTACTAAATCTATAGGAGAATGCACACTGCGAACAAGCAAGCACGTGTTGTAACAAAAGAAATACGCACAAACGTGACCAGTGACCAGCGTCCAGCAACTGTCCGCCAAAAGTAAATTTGAAAAACAAAGTGAGAAGTGATCCACACTTGGTGTGTTGTGAAAAAGTTATGTTTACAGCGGAAGTGTCAATGTTGCTAGTCGAAAATCCCGGATGTTGTAGATCTAAGCCAATGAGATTGCTCGGTTTATTCAAGGGATGACCACGAAGCGGAAGTAGGTCGGTCTCGTGCTATTTATGGCAGAGCTTCCCCCAAATTTTATTCCGATAGTGTTTAGAAATTCCGATCTGGTTTATTTCTATGAAAGAATTGAGGGAAAGGGGGGTAACTGCGTAAAAGAGAAATTATAGACGCGCGTATCGATACCAGTTTCACTACTGTGTTTTGTTCGTGTCGGACGTTATGGAGAGCGTTGTTAGGGGGATTTTTTTCGAGATTCCAGGAATCTTATGCTTCATTTTATGTTGCCATGTGTTACAAAATGTTGAATTTCGAAGCAAATAGGCCGATTTTTTTAGTTTTGTTGATGTTATCATGAAGTATAATGATGAATCATACAAGAAATACCAAAACCTACATATCGATACCTGAGGCCCAAAACTCGAGTTTCATGAGCCGTCCCTCCTCTTAAGACAAGATAAACTGTTTATCCACATGGGAAATTGTGGGTGAATACAATCAATTTACAAGACTCTACATCAACACAGAAAGAAACGGACTCAGTACATTTATGTTCTATAATACACATACAGCGATGCACAACTCACTTTTGGAAAGTAATTAAAGTCCGCTCTGCCCACAAGCTGGAGGTACAATATGTGTCATGTATAGAATAATACCCTAGAGTGTCTATTGTCAATGTGTAATATTTACTTTGATGCGTGCCTACTCTACTCTGGCATTGACCAGATGACAAGGATATGTAGTTACTTGAGGGAGGCATTGTGCTGCCAAGAGCGAAAAGCTCGCAGCTAAAGGGATTTGAAAACAACAACTTTGATGCGTTGTCTCCGTCTCCTTTCCTTCCTGCTGCCTTCTTTACTCTGCCCTCGAGGCCTTGAAATGAACTGATGAAGCTGCAAGAGGCCAAAGAATTTATAAAATCACAGAAGCTATTGTTTTTTAAGCCTAAACACAAGAGATCTACTTCGGACGTTTGTAGCAGTGCCTCTTCTTCAAAGCACATCCACATGTGTGCTTATGTAGTGGCTTTTAGTTTTACAGAACCTCTTTGATAATTCTATCTATCTATCTCTCCATCCATCTATCCATCCATCCATCCTTCCATCCATCCATCTCTCTCTCTCTCTCTCTCTCTCTCTCTCTCTCTCTCTCTCTCTCTCTCTCTCTCTCTCTCTCTCTCTCTCTCTCTCTCTCTCTCTCTCTCTCTCTCTCTCTCTCTCTCTCTCTCTCTCCTCTCTCTCTCTCTCTCTCTCTCTCTCTCTCTCTCATGTTCTACTCTCTCCCCCCCCCCCACAGATGTGTGTATGAGGACAATGAGCACCAGGTAATGACTGTCACTTTGTTCCGCTTGGTACAAGACGAATTCAAGAACAAGTGCCGAGAGAACAAGTAAGTACTTTGCGCTCACACTGACACTTACATTGGTGTCTACATTGACACTCATATTGGTACTCACATTGAAATATTGGCACTTAGATTGGCACTTACATTGACACTCACATTGGCACTCACATTGACACTCACATTGACACTCACATTGGCACTCACATTGACACTTACATTGACACTCACATTGACACTCACATTGGCACTCACATTGACACTCACATTGACACTTACATTGGCACTCACATTGACACTCACATTGACACTCACATTGGCACTCACATTGACAATCACATTGACACTCGCATTGACACTCACATTGGCACTCACATTGGCACTTACATTGGCACTCACATTGGCACTCACTTACATTGACACTTGCATTGGCACTTGCATTGGCACTTGCATTGGCACTTGCATTGACACTTACATTGGCACTCGCCTTGACACTTACATTGACACTTACATTGACACTCACATTGACTCTCACATTGGCACTCACATTGGCACTCATATTGACACTCACATTGGTACTTACATTGGCACTCACATTGACACTCACATTGACACCCATATTGACACTTGCATTAGCACTTACATTAACACCTATTTTGACACTTGCATTGGCACTTACCATCATTTGAAAGGGGGGGGGGGGGACTCAGGTGGTTGGATGTTCAGATAAAACTATTTTAAATTCAAGCCATCAAATATCTACATGACATTTTATTTGCCCCCCAGATTTATCGTGCGAGACTTCCAGTACAGTGATGAGGAAATCCAGGCTGGGAAGATGGAATTGGACAAGCTGAACGCAGACAAAAAGAAGCAGTTTGTGAGTAAAGTGGCTCTTTGTTGTGGCATACTGTTTCTTTATGCATTTCATAACGTACCTGCTTCTTTCTTATTTGTCCCAGTCCTTTTGTAAATAACCCTCGGGGCGGTGCCACTGACTGAAGTGTCTTAAGGCCTTTCCCAAAGGGGAGACATTTCTCGTTTTAATGCACAGAAGAATTGTAAATGGACCGATCCAACAATGTAATGCTCATAACTGCCTGAACTACAACAGGGAACTGCTTCTTTTTCTTTCCTAATCCTATCGCCATTTTCCTCTACTTCTTTTGTATGTTTGTCCCACTCTTGTGACCCGCTATTTCCGGGGTGCCTTGATAGTCGAAGTAGACTTTGTGCTGTTGGAGCTAGAGAGGTGAGCAGAGTACATCTGATTCCCTCTAAGGGTTTCTCTTTTGACATCCACCCCTTGGCGCTCATATGACATGCAGTTGCGAGCGCCGTAAAACATCTACTAAAACTAAACTAATACTTTTGTAAATATGGTGTTGATGCCTCTTTCAACATTGTTAGGTCGTTTAAGAGGCAGGAGCTTGGAAATTTTACACCCACCTCTGATTTGGCAGGATTGTTGTACAATGAATGGACCAGCGTGCACGAAGTGTGTCATTGTATGTGCTGTCAAAGTAATATTTTATTGTGAAGTGCTTAGAGCTACCAGGAAGTGGGTGCTAAAGAAGTGATCTTTATTTTAATTAGTACCGAGTCGGGGAGGTGGAGAATCTTTATTATCCTCCTCAACAACCTAAGTTCAAGAGCACCCCTTTCAGGATTTGAACCAGGGTTACATATGCCAAAGCTAGGGTGCTGCCAACTGAGCTAACAAGAGGCCGGCAGCCCTTATGGCCTTTATGTTGGTTCACTATTTGGCACTGCGGGGTGTGCACTTTGTATGTCAGTTGTGGCACTAACTTCTTATCAAGATGAGCAGTTTCTAATAATGGATTTCAGAAATGGTGCCAATAATTTTTTTAATGAGTATTGGCAATTTTGTCTATTTCCTGATACATTATTAATTTTCTTAAGAAATCATTATTCAGATTTTTTTGTTTTGTTTTGTTTTATATATATGATATTAGTATTAGTGGTATTATTATAAAATTATTATATTTTATTATATTTTATCAAGGTTTTGTAGCTTTCTGTTTGAATGTAGTGTCCCTGACAAGTTAGGGTGGAAGGAGCCTTCTAAGTGATTCATATTGTATAGAAGGGGACATAAAACATTTCTTCATCTTGTCTGTTCCAGGGTCCTCTGGTGAAGTGGCTGAAGATCAATTTTGGTGAGAGTTTTGTGGCGTGGATGCACATCAAGGCATTGAGAGTGTTTGTGGAGTCTGTACTGAGGTACATTTTGGCGGGGAAAGAACTTCCCTGAGTTTAACCTGAGATAATGCTGCCTTTTTTTTTTTCCTTAAAACAACTGAGGAGAAATATTATCTAATTGGTTCTGAGGTGTTTAAGGACAGATTGTTTCAGCTTTTTTTTTAAAGACTAAAATTCTTTTGTCTTATGCGTCTATATCTTTTTATCAAATTCAACGTGAATTCAGTGCTTATGACTGAAACACTTTTAAAATAGTGGGTCTGCTTTTTGCTAACTTTATAATTGGAATCAAAAACAATTTTTGTCATGAGAAGTTTTATAGATTGTTCTAATCCAAAATAAATGAACTTTTTCAATAAGTTGATAGAGTTGTAATCCAACAGAAATGTACTTTTTGCCTTTAAAAGTTTTATGGTTCCATTTTCCTTTCCACTGACAAAGCGTTTCTCTATCTGTGTGCCAGGTACGGACTGCCGGTCAACTTCCAGGGCATGCTGGTGCGACCAGTGAAGAAAAACAGCAAACGTCTGCGAGACCTCCTTAACCAGCTGTACGGTCATCTTGACAGCACTGCCCTGTCTGGCCAGAAGGTGAGTCCGGATGCTCTGATCTGCAAGGGTCACTCTCCCACAAACTTCTTCATGATATTGTCACGGTCATAACACATTTGTCAAAGTCAGTTGTTTGGGGGTTGGTTTTTGGGGGTTTTTGTCTGAGAAAGCATAAAATGAAATGAAGTATACAGCAGTCAAGATTATGATGTGAGCGAAATAGAAAAACTGCAATAATTGGATGTTTACCACAAACGAACAAAACCCTGCTATATTGAGAATACAAAACAAAAAGCAAGCATTTTTACCATGCCAATAAGTAGAAATCTGAAAAATGTTTTTAACAACTGTGGTCACAGTTCTATAAAAAAAATTTTTTTAAAGATTCATTTTTTGTGCTATGCCAAATATTATCCTTAGTTGTGATCTAATCTTAGACAATACATGCTGGACAAAAGGTCAGGGCAGGACTACAGCCTCCAGGATCTTGGATCAATATCAAAGAGACACTCAAAGCAACATTTATTTCTTCGTTTCATTTGTGAAATATAACCTTTTAGTTAAAATATTTTATGTGCTTATATCACTTTATCATGACCTTTTACACCTGTGGTTCATTGTTTGTAATTTTTTCCTTGTGTTTTTTCTTTCAATGAGACGGTAATGTTTAGTTCCACTTTTAAAGAACAGAAATATTTGTATTATATGACTTACTGTGCAGTATGAACAAAGTCAAAGTGTGGAATATGTCAGTCTTTTTAACAATACTCTATCGGGTGGACACGTCAGTGGTTCTTCTGCAGCATATAAAGATTTTGCTTGGGACTCATTCAAATGTACACATGTAGGGTACAATGATATGCCTGGCTTTGTCACAGACCCCACCACTGATCTTACAATTCATGAGTTCAGACATCCTTGTCACTCGAATAGAATGTTTCCTAACCGATTGTTTTTATAAAAATAAGTAAAGGCCGACATGTATTAATCCCCACTTGAGGAAATTTTGGTTACATTTGCACAAATAATGAATACATAAAATAACACTTAAGTTACATCAACATCGAACCTGTCATTTGCTAGATGCCAGTGTGCAGCATCCTGTATTCAAACTAAGGTTAATGTGCCTTGTATCACCTATATCACTCGATGTTTCTTGTGAGTGTGAACTCACTAACAGTACCAATTGAACACTGTTTAAAAACTGTAGTTTGTCCTGGGCTACAAGTCACTGATCCCTGATATCTTTGTTCTTCAGGTGAACAGCATGGACATCCCAGGCTTGAACCTCTCGGCCTCCGACTACTACCCTTACGTCTTCTACAAGATTTCTCTCGATTTTCTAGAACCAACGAGATAAACATTGTGCGCATCTTCATTAATTTTATATAGTGCTGATTTCCTCTGTGTTTTGCTTTACAGTGTTATAGGCTGTTCATTTTCTTTCTAATACTTCAATTTTACAATGATTTTTAACATACGTGAGTGAAATATTATTTTGGTCTTTGGGTGGTCTTATTATAAAGGGTTAATTTTTGTTTTGCAGAAAACAAAGCTCCTATAACTCCCAGTGGCTCACTATCTGAGACAAAGGTGTTACCATCAATTTGTATTTTTAAAATATAGATTCTATGAATAGTATTTATCATCTTGGCCTCATTTATTTGCTGTTAATTATCAGTAAAAATTTACTCTCAAAATTATTTGTCTGTCGATCAGAAGCAGGGTCTTCTTTTCACATCAGTTATTACTGGATTAGTATTGTTACAAGCCAACCGCAGTAACTTTAGTATCAGAGTTGTCATTTTCTCCCCTATTTTGAATTTGAATATAGCTATTGATATGTATTTTGATTCATTTGTTAAAAGAGTAAGCACAAATACACTAGCTCTAAAGAGAGGGGGAGAAGTCATCTGTGATTCTGTGATAAGAATCTGTGCTACAAATCTACTTACCCTGTGCCCTTCAGGCATGTGTATGTTAATAATCAAATCAGGAGAAGACTTTTGGTAGTCTAGGTAGTCTCCTGTGAGTGTACAATAATAATAGTTCGTCCATGAATGTCTGACGATGACCAGAGGAGAATATTTCTTTAAGACAAATAGAAGAAATTAAGATTAAGATGAGTTGTGGCGTCTGCTATGACCAATTAAATCTATTCTGTTAGAGAAGAGTTTGCCACATTTTGAGCGTTTAAAAGCTTCTTTTCCACTTGGGGATGTGCACAACCTGTAGGCTTCTCTCTCGGCCTCAACCTTTCATTTCTGTGAGTGTATGTAGTTCTACGATGGGTTCTGTAGCAACACCATGAAATCTCATACTCTTTTCTATTTTCTTTGCCTTTTTTTTATATTTCCCCCATTTATTCACACACTCCGGCTGGTATAAGCTGTGATTTGTCAATAATCTATGGTCAGTTAATCAGTTTTGTCAGTTTCTACCATGGGTGTAGTTGTATTTGGTTTGTTCTGACTATGTGTCCTGTAATATTTTTTTTGTGTGGTATATCACAATATTGGAAGTCTGAGGACTTCTCTTGCATAACCAGAATGTTAATAGTGTAAAGCATTACTTAGATCTCTGCCTCCCCCTTGGCATTTGTCCCAGTTATGTCTGCCTGTTGCACAATAGAGGTGAAAGAGAGGGGCACAGCACAATTTTGTCTTCTGTCAACTTTGTTATAGGTTGTTTTGTTTTTTTATGGTGTGTTTGTGTTGATAAGACCATTGCTATGTTTTTGGGTTTTATTTCTGGAATTTGTAAAAGAGCTTGATTCTGAGTGAACTCTAATCAAACTTGAGTCAATAGCTCTTTGATGCTTTACAATGATTTTTGTGATAACTTTTTCAAGTCGCATTTTGTCGTACAAATGAATATGTTTGGGTGTTTGCTCCCACTGTTGTGTGCGAGAGATGTATACATTGTCGATGTACTTCGGGATGAAATGTTTAATAAATTGGTGTGAGTGTGAAAGGGATGCCAATGGATTAAATCAGTGTTTGCCGGGATACCTGTGTAGTTGTAGAATTCCTGCACACAGGAAAAAATTGGGTACCGTGAGAAATGTATTTCTCACATCTACACATAATTGACAATACTATTATGTCCATGCAACTGTTGTACAAAGTTCCCTAGTCAGAATTTGTATGTGACTTGTATAGCCTGTATGTTAAGCACAATAACCAGCAAGTGTAGCAATATTGTGCCTCGGTGTCATACTATCTCTGTAGATCAGATGTTTCTTCCTTCCAGCTGAGGTGTTTGTGTGTGGTGGTTCCGAGTTGTATGTTTCTTTTGTTTGTTTTGTTTTTACTCTATGCATTCCTATCACCGATAAATGAGTGCACTGCTCACCAAAGTTTGTACAATGTGCTGTGTGGTTTATTTCCAAAAGGTGTACTGAATGACCTGATTCATTCAGGCAATTTCTTAGATTTTCTATGTTTACTTTGAAAAATAATTCTAATTTTCAAAATTCTGTAAGTTTTTAAAATTTCTTCTCAAGTGCTGTAAAATGTGTTCTGAGACTGTTAATAATAATGGATTATTATTTGAGTAAGATGATAGTTTGCTGAAATGCAGGATGGAGGAGCAGTACTGTTGAAATTCCTGGAGTTTTGTTTTTGCTGGTTTGGGGGTGCTCACTCTCCCTTTTGTTTTAGCTTTAATATCGTATGGTACAGAAAACTTGCTGCGAAGCGCAAAAACGTTAAAACTTTCCCATTCCTGAAGAGATGAATTCTGTTCTAAGAATCTTTTCTTGATTAAGAATCTTTTCTTGATTGTGTCATCGACATTTGTCTGTGGATACTACTTGATGGGCTTGCCGTTTCTGTAATTGGGCAAAAACGACTTCTCTTGAGACCATTGAATTGACTTTTGTCAGAAAGCAGTTTAAGTTCAGGCTGTTGCTATTGTTTTGTATAGAGGTTCCAGTACTTCTCTACAGCTCGTGTGGGGCGTATGTTTGAGCATTGTAATACATGCTCAATATTGATGTAAAAGAACATATTGTCTTGCCCTTGTCTGTAGCTACATGGCTCATTAGTACAATACAGTACAGATGATACCTGTATGTCAGTGTGTATGTGCAGACGTGAAAAGTGATTGTCAAAAATTGAGGGGAAAGATGCGCCTATAAATAACTTTTCAGCTGATAATTTCATCATGACAGAGTGAAAGCCTGAAGGTTTGTGTGGTTTTCAATGTGCTGTGAGCTGGGCTGTGATATTGCCATGATCCTCTTCTCTCTCCAATTGGTAAATGTGCAGAGGATATCTAGGCCGGTGCGAGTTGAAAAAAGCTATGAAATGTGTAGACAGAACTTGTTTATGGAACACATGTGAAGCATTCTTGTCAAGCTGTGTTTGCTTTCCATTTGAGGGCCACACGACTAGAAACTGTCTCTATTGTAACTTTGGTTGGGTTAGGTTTTGTTTTTGGCTATGGATTTTGTGCCGAAAGTTTAACTATCTCCCTCCAAAACTCTGTGCATTTGCTTGTTGCAGTTATAGTGGCACAAGACATTTCGTTGGAAAATGACTGACGATGGTTAAAGCAATACAGAGATATTTTGAAAAGGGCTTTGGTTTTGACTCTGCAAGATTTGACTGTGATTTAAGACTTCCCAGCTCACTAGCTGTTCATCTGAACATTTGGGTGTATGTCTTTTGACATGTCTCAGAATGTTTGTCATCGTATATTAAAGTTATGAACAAGTATAGCAGAACCTTTGCTGTCTCTCTGATAGTGTGACTGTTGGCATGAGGAAAGTATGTATCAAAATGCCATCTGTGTTTATATGTTATGTAGCAATAAAGTACTACCACGTCTAGATATCTGTCTTGTTTTCATTTTCTCACAAGAAAGTGTGAATGGTTGGTAGGTGCTCTGGTGTGGTTTGCTCCTTTCCTATCAAAATTCTATCGTCTTTTTCTCTCCTCTTTCTTTTCTTTGTATGTTACTCTCTAGTAATAGTAACACTTATATGTGTCACGATGCAGTAGAATCAGGCGCTGATCAATTTTTGGGCATCTTGAGTTATTGGTATCATCTTAAAGCTTGTTCATTTGACCATCTTTTGATGAAAAAAAATATATGCCTATCTTGAACGGAAGTCGAGATATTTGCGATTGAAGGGTTGCTTGGCTTCAGACATAGAATAAGCGAGAAAATGGCTGCCAAAATTTGGTGATTTCCAAAGCTTGGGAGTCCTTGGAAACTGAAAATGTTCATTTGTTGTGCCTTTAATCAATGTCTTTCAGTAAAATCCACACAGAAATATGTTTTTAAATGGACCTAAGAGGTGTTGAGCCTAAAAAACAAAAATTAGAACAAAATTGTCAAACTGGAGATAAAATGGCAGCGTCTTCGACTTCATTATTTTGATGAATGCCTGATTTCATCACGACACCTCACATATGATCCATTTGTATCGCAATTTCTGTAAAATGCTTACTGCTAATACTGAAACTTAACTTTTATAAGAAGTAACTGCCACAATATTGTAGTTGATATTTGGCATGCATTCACTTTTGAGATCTTCTCGCTATAATACCTGTTTGCCCTTTTACTATTTATAAATCACTGAGAAATTGAGGATTTTTTTGTTACTCCAAAATTGTCAAGAAAATGGAACTGAAGGAAATTTATTAAGCACATTGTATTCCAGACGTGGCCATTGACTGGGTCATGAGGAAAACAACAGAGGATACATCAAGAGGCATAAGGTGGACCCTCTTCTCCACCCTCGGGGATCTTGACTTTGCCTACGAACGACCTTGCACTACTCTCCCATACCAACCAACACATGCAGGAAAAAACAAACCAACTCCACAAATACGGACGCCAGATTGAGTTAAGAATAAGCCAGAAGAAGACAGAAATGATGACACTGATTGTATTTACCTATCTAGGCAGCATAATCAAAACTGACAGCGGCACAAAGGAAGACATCATGAACAGACTCAGCAAGGCGAGAGATCTGTACACAGAAGCATGATCTACATCTGGAAGTCAGGACAATTTAGTATACAGACCAAGTTAAAGCTGTATAACAGCTGTGTACTATCCACACTTCTACATGAAGCTGAATGCTGGAGGATGACTGATCATGACCGTGCCAAGCTATCTTCCTTTCATACAACCAGCTTACGCCAAATCCTCAGAATCTTCTGGCCCGACAAGATCTCCAACGCACATCTGTTACGTAAATGTAAGCAAGAGGGCATGACCACCATTATAAAAAGGAGAAGATGGAGATGGATTGGACATGTTCTCAGAAGAGAACCAGACTCTATTGTGAAGACTGCCCTCCACTGGACACCCGAAGGACGTCGCAAAAGGGGCAGACCCAAAGTAACCTGGAGATGCACAGTAGTCTGAAATGAAGTCCTGGAATCATTCGTGGGGAACGCTGACCAAGATGGCCCAAAACAGACAGAGCTGGAGATCCTTTGTTGCTGACCTAAACGCCAGATGGCGTAATGGGTAGTAAGTAAGTAAGTAAGTAAGTATTCCAGACTTGAATATTGTTGGAATTAAACAGTTTGTCTCCTTGAGGGTCCAAAGTTTGTTAGTTTTCACTGTGCTTCTTCTTGTTGGGTTACTAAAACTTTTTATTTAGTAAGAACCTTCTTCAGCACACACACCCCACCCCTCATCTTTTGCACATGACGTCTCAGCTACCCCCATGCTGACCCCACAGAGAGTAGATGGAAACCCTGGATGTGCATAGTAGGCCGAATACTGAGTGGTGGGCTGAAGATGTAGTTTTCTACCGTTTGGTTTCACTTTCCTTTTTTTTCTCATCAGCTGCTTCCTTCTTTTCTGAATCGTCTTTGTCATAAACTACTCAAAGTTGGTGTGTTGGGGGCGCCATTGGTAGGTCCTATTTCTGTGGGGGGGTTTTCTGTTTGTACCGTTTGTTTTCTTTGCTTTTTCCTGGCACTAAATGGCCAATACTGAATTATGTCAATGGTCAACGTGCTTCTCTTTACTCTTCAAACTGAAACAGAGGTCCCCGCAGTTACCAGTTGGAACCTTCTTTTTTTTCTTTTCTTTTCTTTTTTTTATCATTACGTGGTTAGAAACTCTTCATGATAATAAATATCACCTTGTTTACTGTATGCATGCCATTTTTGAAAAATGTAAAATGTCCCCTGACAGAAATTGTCAATTTTTTTACGTGGGTCGTTGGCGGGTGCTTTGGTGTGGTTTGCTTCTTCTTTCCTATCAAACATGTATCGTCCTTATCTGCCCTTCTTTTATATGTTTGTTGCTCTCTTGTAACACCTCTAATCTTCTGGAGCTCATATGACCTTCTGCAGTTGCGAGTTCCGTAAAACCTCTACTAAAACAAAAATTTCTTTACAATAGTTGGAAAGTAGGTTGTCACCCTGTGACTTGCTTGATTACAGCAGTTAATTCCTAGAAATATGGTTGTGAATGAGTACCATTATAGACCACACAGTAGAAATTGGAGGTAAATTCTATGGGCTGTAATCTAGCAATGGTAAGACTTTAGCTGTTGCACGCAGAAGACATGAGTTTGATTCCCATATAAGGAAGTTATTGGTGGCTCTTGTGGCCTTGAGGTTAAGGTGTTCACCTCTCATTCAATAGGTCACAGGTTCGAATCCGGATAGCGACGGGGAAATTTTCTTCTCTAAGATTTTTTCCTTTCACATCCTTCCCTGCTCTCTACTCTGTCCTCTGCTTTTGTCTCCACTTTCTGCCTCCACCCCTCACCTCCTTTGTCCCCTCCTCTGGGCTCCTGACTCTTTCTGCAGACTTTCTACAGTTACTCCTTGGCTCTTTCTTACTGCTGTCTTTCAGCCAAACTCCTGATCTTATGGTAGGAAAGATCTACACCTAGCCTTCTCAGACAAGGGCAAAAAATTTCTGAGGTCCCGAGTGTAAGTTGCATCTGTTAAAAATCCCTTGGCGGTCCAAAATCGAAAAGAGTAGGCTTTGGCCGCCACCTCGGCAAAAATCAAAATTTCCTACCAACTGAAAATGTTTAATGTGTCCCGCGCGCTCATATTACTATATATATGCAATTGCGAGCGCCGTAAAACACTTTAAAAAACAAAGGAAGTTATTTTTGTTGATTATCGCAGAGTGTCTGTTGGAATGTTGTTTCCCACTCGGCTTAGGTTGCTGACGGGGATGCAAAGCATTTACAGTCAATCAAGCTCACAAGGAGAGGTTTAGGCAATGTATATTCTGATGCCCGTTTTTCCACATTTTTCAGGTGCAAAGGTCAGGGGTTACCTCAACTAGTTCGACTCCGATAGATAGATGTAAGTTAATTTCCTGGCTGTTTTGGACAGGATATTGAATTGTATCTATCTTCTTCTAGTCATCTAGCTGTAGATGGACAGTGGTCTGTTGGTAGAGGTAGAATATGATGTGAATGATGGCAGTATATACACCACAGAGAGCACTGCTGTGTTATCCCAAAGGGACTGATTCGATGAATTGGAATGAAAGTGAAGATCTCAAATATTCCACCTGGAAATAAAAAATTTACCACTTGTGCAAGATTCACAAATCATCATAAGTTAAACGAATATGGTTCAAGAAATATGATTTCAATAGCTAATATCAGCACGCGCACCTTGTGATACTAATCAGATGGCGTCAGTTTAATAGGAATAGGCAAGTGGAAAACAGAAATTGGAATGAACAGACAGGCAGGCTAACAGAGAGTTATTGGGAAGTTACTTCAGTTACACAAGCCTATCATCAGAATTTTGACTTAGCACCGTATTGATCTGAATTGTATTTTGTCATCTTGTTTCACAGACGGACAAAAAGACGTCCACTGTTCGAAAATAGGTTGCCGCGTGTTTGGAAGGTTACAATTACTGCACTCAAAATAAATTCCACTTTGTTATGACTTGTCTGGTGTTGTAACAGACATTTTGTTGTGGACGAGTCGCCTCCCTCAGCAATCTTGATCTTTTAACTCAAAGAAAATTGTCATGAAATCTGCAGAAAAAATGATTCTCAAAAGCCATATTCAAATATTAAACTTTATTTGTCTTCAGGTATCACAAAATCCTAGATTTTTTTCTTTTTGTATCGACACACTCACACCACCATACACAATAAATACTGAACTATACAACATTGATCTAGATAAATCATTTCCTCACTCAACGAAACACATGAACGTACCACACACATACATCATTGAGAAACACTTGCAAATAAATTTGTTCTAAATTGTAGTGGGTTTTCTACTTCCTTTGTCTGGTAAGACAATAATGTCACAATTATGGCCTAGCTCATTTATCATAATTTTGAATAAATCAAGAAAGACTTCCTTGTTTCTCGTCTTTTCCAAACTCGTGCAATAATGAATTGCGAGGCGTGCTGACGAAAAGAGTTCCTTCTTGCAACTCACAAATGTAGATATCTGCCAAAAATCAACATAGAGTTGAATTTGTAGGTTTTCAACTGGTGCTATTTTCTTCAAGTTTAATCATGTCTTTTATAATTTCATACCGATAAATTGTACAAACTCAACCTATGACTTTGACGTATCTATATCCACAGGACTAAAACTTGAGAAGTAACTCATTTTGTCAGCAAGCCTCACATTTCTTTTTAATAACTCTGAGATTTGTTGGCATATTTAGACCATTTCATGATATGGTGATAGGTGTCATTTTACAAGGAATTCCGTTAGGGGTCAGTTTGATCTTAGCTCAAGTCTGACTGAGGCCATTATCACAGCACATTGACAGTTTAATAAAAGAGCAATATACAAATTTCTCTTGATACCCTAGGGGGCATCCTACTCTTGTTGTTAAGATACTTGCTTTGCATTTGTAGGTTCCCTAATTGGAAGGGTGATACAATGTTTTCTTAGGAATGGCAAAATAACTAATTCACCCAAATTTCCTTTGTTCGCCTTGTTATATTTGTGGGTACCTGGCCCTCATAAGGAATGAAAATATGAAAATCCCAGTAACTGAACTGCTAACAGATACCAAAAGGAACAAGCTAAATGAAGGAGTAATTTTAAATCGTGAGTGTCTTTGGTTGTCAATCTTTTTAAAGCCAGCGCTCACTTTTGCACCTTAAGGAGGCTGAAATAGTAGTACAGTCCATCTACATGTATTTCCAAGCGGGGCATTAAATCATATTTACCTCTACAGTGGTGGTCCCCACCGCCCACCAATATGATCAAATTGCCAACTAGTCAACAACATTACACGGTTTGGTAAGCACTAGACTATGAACTATGATTATGATTTTTTTAAACTCCTATTCTGCTTTGCGTATCAACATGTGAATGCAGGAATAGAATATAGATTGGGGGAGGGGGCTTGATAAATGGACTGACCTACTATGACTTAATACGTCACTATGTCACCTGTCTGACTCTGTACAGTTACCCAACATCTCCAGCATACTTTCACATCACAGTCACATTACTCTGTCATTAATCTCACATATAAAAACGTGCACCCTTACTTTAAAATATGTGGCACCACAAGAGTACCCTTCATATAAGTCATATTGTGCATTCTTCAATTATCACGAATTCAGGCTCTGGCGTTTAGTCAGAATATTTTGTACAAACTTATGTCATCAAAGCTTTGTAACTCTCTAATATTAGATGTCGCTCTTTGAAAAAAAATATGAATCTAGGAACCAGATATACAACCTTGATTTTGACATAAAATCACAAAAACCTCAGAAGTAATCCCATGAATCCAGATTTCTCTTTTGGTGCCACACACAATAAGTTCTGAAGTGTCTCCCTTTGTCAATCATCAGTCTAAGTCTTCCAGATCAGCATCCAGTGACCTGTCTTCTTCCTCTTCTTCTTCCTCATCAGCAGGAGGAGGGTTAACCGGCAAGTGGAGCTGGTCTTTCAAAGGCATTTTGGTTGCGAGGGTATTCAATAAATCCTCAGACTCCTGGTTGGTTGGTCTCTCCGTGACCTCCTGACCCCCTGACACCTCCGTCATTTCCTGTATTCCAGTGAAGGTCAGGGTGGAGGAGTTACCCTCCCTTGTTGCTGTTGACTCTTGCGCACTTAGAGAGCAGCTTTCCTCTTCCTCCTCTTGCATGGAAAGGGTGATGTCCTCAATAAGAACCTTTGACCTCTGAGAGGCTGTGTGTGAAGAGGGAAATGTCAAGGTCTCCATCGGTCCTTCTACTTCTGCTGGTTCATCCTCAAGGATCTCTATCATGGGCTTGTAGGGCTGGAACAAACATTGGAACAGTTTTAGTTTGAATAAAGAGAAGCACGTCAACACAACAATGGTCATTTAGTATGGAAAAAGCAAGAAAGATAGACAGACAAGGATCCAACTACCATAAACATCCGGCCCTTTAAGTCCATGATCAGAAAAAGAGAAGCATTTAACGTATAAAATTTCATAACATATTAATCCACAACTAAGTAACTTTATGAGCTATAACATCTTTGACCGAGGCTAAGAAAAAAAGTAGAACCTGCCAGTGGTGCCCTCTAACAACCCACAAGATTGGAAGGAAAAAACAGAGACTGGAGCAGATATCCGAGCACAAAGCTTCATACATTCAATTCTGTACTTCCCTTTATTTGTTTATCTCAATATATCTTATATTTACATTAAAATACAAGGTGATCAAAAAAAAACTGTACAACTTTTTTTCTAAATATCTCGCACAAAATTTGTACTAGAAATGGCTTTTATAAAAACCACCTGTGAATGCAAAATGCACCAATTTAAAGGATCTTATAGGAAAGTCATGAAAAGATTTATTTGTTTTTTCCTTTCCTTTTATTATTTTAATTCTGGAATTCCAAGAACCAATGGTCTATATGTCCTCCTTTGGACTCGACCCGTTTTAAAGAGTCGTTTATAATGTTCAGTAGTGGCCAAACACAAGGATCCACTCAACCATGAGTACTCAAAGCCACACACACTGCACATCTTACAGTATGGAGCTGTTTCTAGAGTCAATAGGAGGGGGGGAGTGTGAGGTTGCCCAAACAGACAGCATTTGTGGAGTTGATATAACCTGAAAGGTGAAAATAGGCTTTGCCAAGGAACCAAATGTCATATAGGAAATGTTCACGCTTTTCAATACGATCGAGGAATCAACAACACATTGCTATCTTCTGATAGCTTCGCCAGCAGGAAAATGGTATAGTCGTCGGTGAAGATCTGCCTTGAGACTGCGGACTGCTGAGATATAGGAAATCGTTGCTGCAGACATCTTCTACAGACAGACATCTCATGGCACTCATCTACTGAATTCTGCACCCTGGTAACGTTTAAAGGGGTGTGAACGGTATGTGTTTGACCTGAAGTGGTCATTTTGTCTCGGAATTTTAGTTCTGATTCTCTACAGGTCCTAACTGATGGACCATTTCCACCTTTGACATAAAAAATGGCCTTAAGGGCGCTTTAACATTATTTCCGTACCTTGTGCGAAACTTACTAAATGAGTTGGTGGTTGGGAAAAGTTCAATACAAAAAGCTCTCTGCTCTCTACTGATCTTAACCATGATCTATGCAGGCAAAGGAAACTTGAGAAAAATTATCTGCAAACCTCTGTTGGCCAGTTAGACTACTGTAGTTTGCAATATGGCGCAATCGTTGGGATTTTCAGGGCTAGGCCTAATGCAAACTAGAGCGTCATGCTACAAAAATGGGGACATAGCTGAAAATGGGTTGGGTTTTTTACATGCTATGTAGAGCACAGCTGTTCGGCGACTGTATCAAAAATGAATATCAGACAATTTCCTTTTGATTTCCAAATGTTGGGTACAAATTTGAAACGCCAAACTTCAGTGAGGAGGAAAATATTGGCCAAAAAAGTTGTAGTTTTTTTTTTTGGATCACCCTGTACTTTTGACTGTGTCAGCTGACTCCTCTATGAATCAAGCACAACCAAATAACAATTGCCTTGCACTCACATAAATTTTGCTTTTGGGGGGTTGGTAAAATACTGTTAGGATGCCCTCCCTTTCTTGGGGGTAGTTTAATTTTTAATTTTTTATTTAAAAATTATTTTTTTTTGGGGGGGTCCTCTTTTGGGCTGACAACAAACATAATGTATAGCAAATTAAATGGTGAATGAATAAAAATTTAAAAAAAGAGAATGACTCACTTTGTCTTCTTTTACAGCAGCACTGATACCCTCACTGGGAGTTCTGACGGATGACCTCGGTGATGACTCATCTTCAATATCCTCCAGGTCTGGCAAATCCTGAGAGTGAAAATATTAATGGCATCATGTTCTGACAGTGTAACTGGTTCCTTGAAAGTTTTCAACAGGCAAAAAACACCCACAAAAAAAAAAAATTATCTAAATGATGAGAAAAAGCACAAACGCGACCCCACTCTTATTTATACTATAGCCCATGCCGACTTCGGATATTTATTGAAGATCTACAGGTTAAAATAGAATAAATGGTTCTAGAACAAAAAAAACAAAAACAAAAACAAAACAAAAACAAAAAGAGTTTACCTATTACTTATTACAGACCGAAGGGCTAAAACACAAATGGCCGCTGGATCGGAAAAGTAAAGTAAAGTAAAGTACCTATTACTTAAAATTACATTGTTGGAGTTTTACCATTTTTTTTTGTTGAGTCAGTGATCTGAACTATTGTTTGTTTGTTTATTGGGATTCTATATCCTTGTTTCACATGCTCAGTTGACAACTTTATCAAATTTTTCATTTACTCAGTAACGTATTCGCAACATCAACAAAAAAGAAACCTCTTCCGGAGAGATTCGCATGCCGTATAGTCAGTATGGCTTTTCTTTTCTTTTGGTTGTTTCTATTTTTGGCTGAAATCATAGAGGAAAGCAAACTCATTTTTAAAAATAGAAAAAAACGGAAGAACACATCCATTTGCTTTCATCTTTGATTTCTACAGGCGCGAGTTCACACCCGTAGCGGACATATCGCCGATATATCGGTTGTGATAGGGTGCCTCAGTATTGCTTCGTTTTAACACGATCCGTCATTTATAATTACTTTATATAGCTATTGTAAAACTCGGAAAGGATTTAGGAAACGAAAACATCTAGCTTCACTTTGTCAAAGCGTGGGTTTTGGGAAAAACAAGTGAATTAGTTCTTGCTGTCTTGCATCAACAAAACGATGTGACCGGACTCAGTATAAATATCATAACTCAAACAAAAATTGGAATATTGCTTTCAAATAAAAAGTTGCACATTCAGAAATTTATGGAGTCTGCTCTTGGCCTATGATAAGATAGCTATGCTGATTTGCTTTCCCATGTTTAGTGACTGTAATTTTTTCCGTCAAAATTTATTTTTCTCATGACCATCGCCACTTTTAACCCTTGTAATGCATACTTATACACGTTCAAAATTAATCCTTGTTTCATATTGGGATGCATTCCTCATTCAATTTCCTTCAATTTGATATATCATATGATATGCTTTGAGTGATGTTTATGCTTATATGAAGTTATTTTGTACACCACCTGCATAGCCAAATCGAGCCACAAGTTAATTATGTCTAGACCCAAAAAAACTACGTCCGGAAAGAGTTATCGTTAAGATTGTCAGTTCCCCATGGTAAGGTGATAGAGGACAAAGACAAAAGGGAGAGAAGCACTGTCAGAGATTTGATAAAAAAGAAAGAGAGACAGAAAGAGAGAGAATGAGTCTGAATGATTCACATGCTAGAGTAAGAAAGACCGGAAACTTACCTCATATTCATCTTGCTCATCTTCATCATCTTCTGTTGACAGAAAGTAAAAAATAAGATAATTAGGAGTATTCATGGGCAAGCGTTATACGATTATACGATATTGCTCAACAAATCTGTGGTGTCGTTCAGGTCATCTTTAGAAATCATTCTCAACAGAGATTCATTGAACGAAAGTATTATTGATTTTAATTCATTTTCTTTCTTTTATATCTTCGGGTATATTTTTGTCAATAACTTTTATACTAATAAATAGAAATATGTTGATCAATTTTGAATGTGTTATGCAATCATTATTATTCATGGTGTACTTTATTCAACAAAAACAACACAACAGTTTTGGCACCTAGTCAGTACAGTTCCTAATAAAGCTGAACTTTGTCTATATCATTTTCTCAAAGACGAAAGTCCTATTACCTCATAGTGACCTATATCATTTGAGATATCAGTATTCGATTAAATCTATATTAAATCTTTTTGAAATATCATTTGAATTCTAGCTATCTGTAATGTTTTCATATAATAAAATCAGAAGAAGAGGAACAAAAATGTTACTAATGCTTTGTTGACGAGTTTTAAAAGGTATCAGAACACTTTATACTGCTGCCTCTATAAATTCTGATCACAGAACAATTTTTTAAAATGAAAAATTCACTGCACTTTACCTTCCAAGGCTGTTATGAGCAGTTTGGTAGGCTTTTCCTCAGAATTTTTCTCGTCTCTTTGTGAGAAGATTCCTCCCTGTGTCTTGCTGTCTTGACTTTTCACCTCCAGAACTTCGATGGGCTCAGCTGGAGCAGCAGGGGACTCAGGTTGGGCTTTTACTTCTGTAAGAGAAGTTACAACAGAATTACAGGTGAAAGAAACTTTGAGCCTCAAATCTATAGTTGTTTGTTTGTTTCTGCAAAATAGATGTATACTAATGATGTTAAGCTCTACCATTTACCCCCCCAAAAAAGGTTAACTTTTTTGTGTTCTGAAGCCATTGCCGAGGTCTATCAGCGTGTCTTCAATTAAAATCAGGAGTCAGCATGCTATATAAATGGCATAAAAGTACATCAGGCTACTTTTAGAGTCTTTTCTCATAATTTAGATTAAAAGGTTTCCTTTTTCTTAAAAAAATAATAATGCAACAATGAGACAAAATAAGAATGGACAGAGACTTTGACAGTGGGATCTGCCTTCTGATCAGAACACACAGTCCGGGACACAAAGTTCAAAGGCAAAACAAAACAAAAAGGACAGAATTCCTCTACAGCACCGTCCGACTTACACCCTATGCCATTTTAGCCATTGCAGCAAAAAGATTGATTGACTGATAATAAAAGCAATATGCCCCATCACCACAATATTTTTTTTTCCAACGAATTAAAAGGCAGTATGCTATAACAGTGCTTCTTGGAAAGACTGAAATCCTTAACTTCCCACACAGAGTCTAGATATCTTACTCACTTCTTTTGCAAGCTAGGGCAAAGAGTTTAATCCTTATACCACATATGCCAGGGCAGTGTAAAAAATAAACCCAGAAACATCCAGTAGATTTTACACCCTAACACAACTGACCTTCGGCTTGTTTTGTGGTTGTCTGATCTTCCTCTGAGACTTCCTCCTCGCCCTCTTCTCCATCCTCTTCCTCATCCACAGACTCCTCCTTGCGATGATGAACAGTATCGTCACCTTTGATCTTGTACGTGCCGTACAGCCAATCTACAGATTCAACATCTACCTCCACTTTGTCTGTCTTTCCTTCTGCCTCATTCTTCTCATTCAGCTCTCTCTCAATCCTCTTAGCTATTGACGTCTTTCTCATATTAAGCAGAGCTGGGAAAGGGTGAAAATAGGAGGGGGAGGGGGAGAGCAGGAATTTTAAAGAAAGAGAGTAAAACAAGAGAGCAGGAATTTTAAAGAAAGAGAGTAAAACATTATCTAAAACCATTCTGTGCCATGTTTGAACAAAATCAAAAACAGCATTGGGGACAAGGGATGCGATTAATTGATCCAACTACCAAGACACCCTGCCCGTTAAGTCCATGATAACAAAAAAAATTGAGGGATCATAGTGAAATCAGGCGCTTGTCAAAATAATTAAATCAAAGAAACAGGCCCTCCAGTTGGGCAATTTTTATTGAATTTTTATTTTTCGGCTCAATGCCTTTTATGTCCATACAAAAACACATTTATTTGTGAATTTTACTGAAAAACGTTGATTAATGGCAAAAAAATATGTAAAATTTTCAGTTTTCAAAGACTCTCAAGCTATAGAAGTTATCAAACTTTGGCGGCCATTTTCTCGATAATATTACCTCTGAAACCACACTACCCCCACCTCCTTCAATCGCAAATATCTCGACATCTGTTTAAGATAGATGGGTGTTCTGTCTTAGAAAGCAAAGCAAATGAATAAGCTTTCAGACGATACCAATATCTCCAAATGCCCAAAATTGACTAGCGCCTGATTCCGCCACTTTGTGACACAAATGTGGAGCCTATTATTTATAAGCTTTCATAACATGTTTTCTCACATTTGAACAACTTTATGAGCTACTGGCATAATTTCTTTGACAGCCTTGCTCTACATTTCTTTCATTCATTCCCAGCACTTTCATGTCGTAAAAAAAGACAATCCAAAAGTCATGTTGCGAAACAATAGTTCCATACACAGAAAAAGCTACTACTACTACTTTCACTTCTTTTAGTTTTAAGCCTGTACTTGGCCATCATCACTTGGTGGACACTAAACAAACAGGGGTAATAGTGAAAATTCACATGGAAACAATTTTCATCAAGATCACTGACAGATGAATAAAACGAAATGACAATAGCATGTTTAGAAGCATTTCACGAGAGTGTTTCCCCCCACAGGTAACCTCCAACCTCCAGCATTGCTGATCCCTGACACCAACGTGCAACACAGACACCATGGACGACTTACAGTCAACGCTCTCCATAATCTTCCTCCTTTCTCTGTTGCTCCATCTCTCTCTCTCTGCTTTCTCAGCTTCCAAACCACCTTCAGCCCTGGGAAGAGAACAATTTTATCACAGATCAAAATGAGCATCATCATGAAGCACTAGTCAGATTTCTCAGCTCTACTTGAATGAGAGAATGAGAGAAAGGGGAAAAGAGGAAGACTTTTCTCTGCATGCCTTCTTTGTAATTGTGGCGATATGGGTTTTATGACACTTTGGCCAAGCTGTTTAGTATACCATCGTTTACAGAGAGAGACAAGAGACACCAAACATTTTGGAGAAAATGCAGGTGTCACCAAATATTTCAAAATTAAACATTTGACATATGAAAAAAAAAATTTATTCTCTACAGTACAGGCGACAAACTTTCATACTTCTTTTTCAGCCCATTGAAGAATGCAACTTTTCTGCTAATGATCATGCCTATATCTTATACAGGTGACTGGTTTTCTTTGTTACAGATAACATGCCACATAAATATAGATGACAGAGACGGAAAAAATTATTAAGTTTATTCAGTGTTTAAGGCCAATGGCCCACATCACATCACATAAAACACTCATTTGTTAAATAAAGTTTCCATAATGAGAAAACACAGGTTGTGAACATATCTCTTGTCATGGAGTGTTGTGTTCATTCACAACTAAAAGCCCACATAACTTCATAATAATTGCTTTGACTGAACAGTTCATTCCAGTACACAATGGCAGACCCTGGAAGATATACAGTTTTTTTAGCACACATTTCTGTCTTTCACATTTCAATTTTTGTTTAGTGTCAAGTACACATTTGCCCCAACTTTAGTTGATGAAAACTGTATAAACAACTTCTGCAAATAAAATGAACTCCAGAACTTACAAACATGAGTCTGACTTCTTTACCTCTGAATAAGGAAAAACCTCTTCTCTTTATGTTCTCAATACGTCAATATCACAAGATCAGATATATGTGGCCAAGTGATATCAATGACATTACACCTCTTCCTTCTTTCTCTCTTTCCCCCAACCCACCCACCTCACACCTTCTGATCGCCAAGGATAAAGGGGGTTGGGGGGAAGGGGGTGATATATCTTTTACCCACAATATGTTAGAGTTTACATCTTTATATTTTCACATCCCCTAGAAACACACAACTGAAAATCCATTAAAGTTTTTACAAAACTATCACAAAACAGCCACTCACCAGGCTTCAGCACAGGCCCTGTCCTTAGGGAACACAGGACGGTCGTCCAGGTACTGCAGGTTTTGCTGTGAGGACATGTTGTAAGTTAGTAAGTTTATTCGGTGTTTAAGGCCATTGACCCACAGCACATCAAATAAAACACTCATTTGTTAAATAACGTTTCCATAATGAGAAGGTACAGGTTGTGCACATATCTCTTATCACGGGTCATGCTGTCTTGTCATATCTCCATTTTTTTAAACAGTGAAAATGTGACTTCTTTTTAAGCTCACTCTTTGTTATGAACTATTTTCACTGTTATTAAAACTGGAGATACAACAAGAAAGCACTGAGGTCATGTTTTCCTCAGCTCTTCTTCCTCATGGTCCTCCTCCTTCTCCTTCTTCTTCTACTGTTCTTACTCCTTCTTTTTCTTTTATTTTAGTATCGAATCACCAGAGCTTGGACATCCTCTTTACCTTGGATCTTGTCTGAAGACCATGTGCCTCCGCAGAATTTATATTTTACAAAAAGAGTGCGAATCTGTATAAGTTTAACACCTCCTGCAACCCTGTACTGTCTTTTTAGAGGAAGGACCCCCAAATTTAATGTCCAGCTCCAATAGGACTGAGCCAAATCGGAAAATTTGTCTAAAGTACCTTTCCCAAGGACACAACGTCGGATCAACCCGAACCAGCAATATCACAATTACAAATCCGGTAACCTATGACAGCTAGACTATCAATGCCACCTACTATTCTACATCTAGCACGGAAGTACTAAACAACAAAAACAAACAAACAAAGCTCAACAAAACAAGCAAAATGTCAAATAAGAATCAAGTTCTCGCACAAAAACACTCACCAGTTTCACAGTCATATTTTTTCGGTAATACTTGATTTCTTGTATAACTGCGTTCCCCGTCAAGTTCAGAACTCGCTGAAATCATTGCACAAAGAGTTTATTAGCATTTCATGTCATACTGACTGATGGAACAACACATGAAAGAAGGTGTGAAGTGAGTCTATGTAAAAAAATTAACTTTCCATGTGACCGGTTTACACATGCCAAAAGTATGATTATGACTAACAAAAAAAACCCATTATGTTCATGACTACATGATGTTCCTTTCCCTTCCAAAAGTGAAACAAGTGAATACTCTACTGGTTATTTAAAGGTCAGTAAAAGAAAAAAGAATAACAGACTGTCCAATGAATTGAAGAAAAGCACCTCTGAACAGCAATGGGGGAAAAGTGCCGATACTACAGTATAGAGAAGAAAAAAAATAGTGTGCTGACAGGAAGGGGTTAAATTAACAAGCAAAATCTCTCCAGCCACATCAAGGTCAGTTTATGCATTAACTCCCCTCCCCTTCTCTATTGCATTCCTCATCCCCATCCCCACCCACTTTGCACACCTTTCCACGCCTTTTCACACACACAATGGCTGTAACAGATATGTAAATACCACAACACTGAACTGGGACAAAGAGTGAAAGCTTGTTCGTTTTAGTAAGAGCTTTACGGCACTATGAGGTCATGTCAAATGCCGAAGATTAGATGTGTTACAAAACAAACATAAAAAAGAAGGAGGAGAGATAAGGACCATAGGTGTTCGATAGGAAAGAAGGAGCAAACCACACCAGAGCACCCACCAACCACCCACAGTGAAAGCCTAGGGATTCAACTGATCATCAATAGCAATGACAAAACGGCAACATCAACAGCAACAGCAACAAAAATTCTTCCACCCGTTTGATGTTTCAAAAAAAGGAAGAGACCAAGAAGGCAAAAAGGAAATCTACCAAGTTCTTCATCTTGATCAGAACGTCAATGGCATCGGGGTCATCAATTTTGTTGTGTGAGAGATCCAGAATGGACAGATTCGGACACTCCACCAGGTGGGAGAGATCATCGGCAGAACGGAGTTTATTATGCGAGATGTTCAGTGTGTTCAGGACAGGCAGACAAGCTGGACAGAAAAAAACACAAAATATAGAATTTTTTTCAGTTTTGAAGAAATTAATGTATTACAATCATCTAACCGTTTATTTTGAAACAAACAATTTCATAAAGTCCTTCTGAAGAATATAATGTCAATCATGTACATGGCAACCACAACATACATATTCAATTTGCAGGAATACAGGTTTGCACAACTTACTAGGACTAAAAAAAAGTTATACTTTAGGAAGAGCCAACACACAAGAAAAAGTTTTTCATTCATGTTTTTAAATCAGCACCGAAATGAGGTTTTTCAAAGTATTCAGCAGAGTTGCTATGCAGATGAAATCATCATTGACAAAATAGATCTCACAGTATTTTTTTTTTTTATGTTTCCCCCAAACTTTCAACTTTCTCACTCTTCCAAATAGGCAAACACACAATATCACACATACAAGCATACTCCCACACATATACATGCATGCATGCACGCACACACACACACACACATACACAAACACACACACACATACATACACACATATATAACACTTGCACGAATATACTCTCAGGCACACACACTCAGAAACACATGCATGAGTATTGTGTGCAGACACACATAAATGTGTGCAGTGACAAACACACTATCAAACATACACACAGCAGTCACACACACATACCTAGGTTCTCAATTCGTGTAATCACGTTATGCGACACGTTCAGATTATCCAACTTCTGCAGGGCCTCCAGATTCTCCAACTTGCCAATCAAGTTCTGCTGCAGATACAAACAGCGCAACTCTGTCTGTTTATCGAGGTTCTGGATCTTGTTGATGCCATTACACTCCAGCCAAAGGCACTTGAGACCAGTATACTCTTCCAGGTTCTCTATATGGTAGATACCTGAAGTTTGGACATATATAAAATAGTAACAGGTGAGTGAGAAGACAGGAGAAATCAACATCTCTTTACTGCGGAATCTGAAGAAGTGGGAGGAATAATGGTTGTATGAACTAGACTGATTAGTGGGAGAGGCTAAAATTTCCAGAATTTTCAAGCATAATTTCGTCTGCCGTCGTTGCTTTTAGTCCTTGTTGCTGTTATTGCTTGTTGCTGTTGCTGTTGTTGTTGTTGATAGTGCTCTTTGTACAAGTCTGATTCAGCAACTCAAAGAACAACCTTTAGCTTAGTGCTTTTTTATAAATTGTGAAGACCAATAATGCTATGTTCCACTGTGTTCAACAATTAAATTTAGAAAGAAAGTCGGGAACAGGATAACAATCATTCAAACTTGGGAAGCAAACAATATGATCAACAAACAAACAAAATAAAAGGAGAGTGAGCGAGCGAGAGAGAGTGAGTGAGAGAAAGAAAGAGAGAAAAAGAGAAAGAAAGAGAGAAAAAGAGAAAGAAAGAGAGAGAAAGGGAAAGAGAGAGAAAGGGAAAGAGAGAGAAAGGGAAAGAGAGAGAAAGGGAAAGAGAGAGAGAGAGAGAGAGAGAGAGAGAGAGAGAGAGAGAGAGAGAGAGAGAGAGAGAGAGAGAGAGAGAGAGAGAGAGAGAGAGAGAGAGGAGAAAGAGGGAGAATAAGAGAGATGAGAGAGAAAGAGAGAGAGAGAGAGAAGAGAGAGAGGGGGGGAGAGAAAGAGGGAGAATAAGAGAGATGAGAGAGAAAGAGAGAGAGGGGAAGAGACGGAGGGGGGGAAGAGAGAGAGGGGGAAAGAGAGAGAGGGGGAAAGAGAGAGAGGGGAGAGAGAGACAGAGAGAGAGAGAGAGAGAGAGAGAGAGAGAGAGTGGGGGGGGGGAGGGGGTAAGGGAAGGGAGGGGGAGGGGAGAGAGAGTCTCACCTTTATAATGCAAGTAGAGAACATCATTCAACTCTGGGGTGAGATACAGTTTTAAATCCTTACAGTGCTGTCGAAGGAAGGCTTTGGTCAGAACACTGGGGTGGAAAAAAAGAGTAAAGTTAAGAAAGAATCAAACCACATCACAAAGAAAGATGATCTTTTGATGTTACATTTTTACGAGACAAAAAAAAACAACTTTTAATCTGTTAATTTTGGGAACAAGCAATACTTTCATAATTTTACAATTCCATGCATTTTCACCAGAAGTTGATTATGTTTGTGAGAAAAAGAATAAGTATGAGTAATATAAATAGTCAGATGTACAAGTACTTATCAATTTTTTTTTCAATCCACAGTAGGGTCTTGACCTCCAATGAACAAGTACTATATTGACTTAAGCAAAACTGTAATTTGTAAATCTAGTTTCCATTACTTAACTTCAATCAAGTCAAAAAAACAAAGAACTCAAATTTGGGACAATTGCTTTCATATGCTTGATTATGCATGCATGTAGTGTGAACAGTCCACTGTTTAAGTTTTTCTAGTTTGCTGAAGCAGTATTCTTTGAAGAAAGGTTTAAGGATCCCTAACACTGTCTTCAAAAAAATCAGTGCTCATTTGAGGGTCCCATTTTTATCAACCTTCATTGTGTTGCAAGGGAAGAATTTTCGTCACAAATCCAAAATTACTGTTAATATACTTCAAAGGATTATCAATTTTACAAAGCATATATGAATCATTAAAGACAGCCTCTAAGAAACTGAACGAAGACTCAACCGGATGATTCAACAGCTTTCTTCCAAAAAGAGTATCATGCATTTTACTTCCCTCAAAATATACTTGTTCGGGAAAACCAGTTGGCCAAATAGGATGAATTTGATAAAGCATAGAGAAAGAAAAATTAACCTTTAATGATGGGGTGTGAGCCTTTAAGAAGAACTTCAGAAAAGAAAGGGCCATTCAACCAATTTTGATATTCATCCTAAGTGAGGTCAGCTCATTTTGTAATGCTGTAGTATAGTTACCAACCCCAAGGAGTCATTGTATGACTTTACACTTTAATTTTCAGTTACTACGTTCTGAAACATTGTCAAAGGAACTTACCTTGGATATTTACTTTTATTTTCTTTGTCCTCTTCAGGCACATTTCCACCACTTTTCTTCAGTTCTGTGTTATTATTGTTTGTCTCTGAAAATGAAAAGAAGATTTTCTGACTTAAGAATAGTACGTCTCAATGTGATATGACTCCATCAGCGAAACTTGACATTCACATTCACTGCTCTTTATTTTCTAAATTTCATCTATATTTTTTTTTTAATTACCAGTCTTTAAATTTTTTAAATCTGGGACAAGGTACATTACAGATATAGCATTTTATTCCAAATATTCAGACAACAGTTATACATTACCAAAATATGCCAAGCTAATACCAGCACAGAAATAATACAGGCTTTAGAGAGCAGAGCCCTCTACGTACACAAGCAGCAAACAGTATTTTCCAGTATACATATATCTACATAAATGTTCTTTTCAAAATAAAAGAAAAAGCCTTTAACTCATTCGCTACATATTTTTTTCGGCTTGTGGACGAATTTTTTTAGGGAGGGCAAAATGAGATGACGACTAGAGCGCAGTTCAAAGGTCTTTGGGGCCACAAATTCAAATAAATACCAACATAAAATATTTATATACCAGAATTTTCAGTATGCTTTGTAGAATACATCAGTAATGTTTATTTGTGCATTTTTCAACTTTGGCTCCTGCTGTAAGAGGCGATTAAGCAACACAATTTTGCTTGGATGCGGAAAAATTGTTTAAATAAAAAACTATAATAATCTTAGGTGAAACTCAAAAAATATGTTCCCACCTAGTCAAATTATATATCAAAATAACCATAAATAAATATAGAACAGGAATATATTGAAAAATTGGCAGTTATTTACATATATTCCATAAAATTTGTACCTTTGGATCATAACATCCAATATTGAAAATGTAAAAAAAAAAATTTATAATCTCGGAAAAAAGGACAAGATGCATTCACAAACAGAAAAAAAACACACGTATCTTATATGAAATTATTCAGAATTGCATTTGGAATGAACCTATATGTGTCTCGACAGGTACTTTTTGTGTAATTTCACCAAAAAGAAGTGCATGATTTCGGGGAGAAAAAAATATTTTGACAATTTAGATCTAGACCTAATCTAGATCTTGCACTGAAAAATATTGATTTCTCAATAACAGACCACTTAAAATTTCAATTTGAGTCCAATATAGTATTATTATTCTAAAAAAGAGTCCTACATTTCTTTAGTGAGCAAAATAATGATACATTTTGTTGTATAAAAGTACTAAGACTGTGGTGCCTGGGCATAATTTCGGCATCGCAATAAAACAGTCACAAAAACTTTGAAATCACGATTCAAAACTGAATCACAACTTTCGATTTTCGGTGATAATGCTTGACCCGTAATTAAGTCAATGTTATATTATAACCTTATTTTAACATGGATATGTGGATTGGACTAAAATCAAAGCAAGAATTATAGGTAGTTCTCGAGCCGTCGGAGGCGGCTTGGCGTACAGAAGAAACTTTCGCCGCGCCGCGCCGCTGCCCACGGCTCGGCGTAGCGAATGAGTTAAGTCATCAGCGTTAATTGAGAATCTTGTTCAACTTTTTGTTTCATCGTTTTAAAAGCTCAATATTTAAAATACAAAACGTACCCAAAGACAGGATATCACAATCTCTATAATTTCAGTTTTAAAGAGAACAGATGTACTGTTATACTAAATTTCACCTACCTGTTTTGGTATTGTTGTTGGATGTGTCAGTACTGTTTCCTTCTGTCTGATCAGCTTTCTTTTCCTCACTGAATTTTGTGGTTTCAGGAGGGTCAGACACCTCAACAATTTTGGGTACTGTAACATTCTGTTGTTCAGACAGAGGGTTACTGTCTTCTAATACTTCAATAGATGGCATGTTTGTCTCTTGTTTGATTCACATTGAATACTGTGGAAAGATTATGAAATACATACAGTTTATGTAAAATAATTGCATCTGAACTTGATTATTTAAATATATATCATAAATAAGTAGGCTACATCATATATGTAGTTAAAACAAATAACAAATTTCATAAGGTTTTAGTTTTACGAATCTGTGCGTCTTCTTTGGGTAGGCCTAATTTCTGCTTGTCCTCACACCAGAAATGTCATTATAGTTTTATCTCTCCCTTTGCCTACTGATGCCTGTTGGATTTCATTTGAGTTGAAAATAAATTCTAATTCTTTTTTTACTAATCTGATTATAATGTATAGCCAAAACTGGGTAATGTTATGAATTTTCTTCCACAAAATGGACATCATGTCAAACTCATCAAACTGTCAATTATTTGCTCATAATATCACACACATAGGACGCAAAGACCCTACCACAGAATCAGTTTTGCTCTAGAAAAAAAAACGTGTTGAAAATAAGAACTGCCGCGGTAGTGTGGATCTGCTGGTAGACCTGCTCTGACTCTGACTATCTAAGGCAGACTTATTAGACTAAGGTGTTCCCAGATCATTCCAGATAAATCTCAATCTCGTAATAAGGCCAAACATAAAACCAGCGGAAGCACATGGTATGTACCCTTTGCCCTTTGGCAAATTGCCTGAAAATTGAAGCCCACATGTCTCCGCTAGTAGTTGACAATGATCTGTAACTGTAAATACTTATGCGTACGTCGGTTTGCTTTCCGGCGGCTGTAGCTCAAATTCAATGTACAAAATTAAAACTATCCAGGTTGTATTACTGAAAAAGGAACTCTTTAACATCAAAAACGCGATCATGTAATGCAGAATTTTTTCCTTACTTGAATATATGCTGCGACAATCTCACTGAAGTACACTATCTAGAAATAAAGCGAGCTCAGTGTTTACAAACACCCGAACAGACTTGTTCTTCAACGAACCGACGCGTCGCCAAGAAACGGATAAACACTCTTCCGATTGTACCAGTTTTTTAAAAAGTTGTGAAAATGTAGCGAAACAAACCAAGGGAAATAACCATACGTTTGTGATTAATTTGGTTTTAGTTTTAGTTTAGTTTTAGCGCGACAGTATAAAAGACAGGTCCGTGCACCATTTATAGATTGTCTTTTCTCTTTATTTTATATTGTCTGGCATTTCCCAGCCAATAACTGTTAATATTAAGGGGTTGGGTTGTTGTTTTTTTCAATGTAGGAAGCCACAGGGCTTATCAAAACCACCGCAACATGACGTACGTTCCAGTAGGTACATGACGTAGTTAAATTTAATTATAGGGAAATCAGTCTCTCTCTCTCTCTCTCTCTCTCTCTCTCTCTCTCTCTCTCTCTCTCTCTCTCTCTCTCTCTTTCTTTCTTTCTCTGTCTCTCTCGTTTTCCCTCTCTCTTTCACTCTCTCGTACTCGATCTGTCTCGCTTTCTGTCTACATGTCGCTGTCTTTCTGTCTCTTTCTCCTCATCATCCTCTCAGGATATCTATCTTATAATTGTTACCTGGAGGATAGACAGATTGTCATCCTGTTAGGTGATAAAATGCCATTATGCACAATGTTCAGTTATCACTCAATGTATTGTACAGTAGCTTACGATACGAACTCATTTTCAGACACAAGCAAAAGAGAACGGGGAGGGAAAGAGAGAAAGAAGGGGAAAGAGAGAGAATGGGAGAGAGAGAGAGAGAGAGAGAGAGAGAGAGAGAGAGAGAGAGAGAGAGAGAGAGAGAGAGAGAGAGAGAGAAGGGGAGAGAGAGAAGGGGAAAGAGAGAGAAGGGGAAAGAGAGAGAGAAAGAGAGAGAGGGGGGGAGAGAGAGAGAGATAAACGCCCTAACAACTTGGGGGGGGGGGGGGAAGGGCGCCACTTGTACGTCGTATTTCTTTTCAGTCCTTCTGTTGTTTCCGTCTTGCTTTTACTCTGCACTAAATTATGGTTTGTTGTGTCGATGTTGTCTTTACTGCTTAGTGTTGGGGAAAAGTAAGACAGACAGACAGAAACAACAGAGGGAAAGTAAAGAAGTAGGACCTACCAGTGGCGGTGCCCTCCAACCATCCGCAGGATGTGCTTAGACATTGGGAAGTTGGGGGGGGGGGGTGGTGAGTGCTGTAGGCTTTTTAAAATTTGTTTCAGTAGATGTTTAACGGCGCTCGAAACTGCATAAGGTCATATGAGCGCCAGAAGGTTAGAGGTGTTACAAGAGAGTAAGAAAAATAAAACAAGAAAGAGGGGAGATAAGGACAATAGATGTTAGATTGGAAAAAAGAAGCAAATCACACCAGAGCACCCGCCAATCACCTACTGTTATAGGCTTTACTTTATTTTCTAGTCGTATATGTGTGTAACTGGGTGCATCTATAGCAAGCAAAGTCTGCTTAATACAAAAACTCATCCACCAATGTCAGGCGATTTCCAATGCATCTATAGAGGAGAATAGTCTATACGAATAAATAGAAGAAATAAGCATTCAGAAGACTAGTCGCTTCCCTTGAATTATAAAGTTCTATCTGCTAGTACCTGAGAAATTTGACCTAAAAAAATTCGAGTTTCTAAACATGTCAAGCTTTTTCGAATGCAGTTCCTCGAATATCTTGACAACGAGCTGATAAAACATGTGGTTTCTGACCTTATCGTTATAGCTTTACAACTCAGAACGACTAAAAATGTCAAATAGAACTCTGTAATTTTAAGGTAGAGAAGTGGCATCTTCTAGGGCCAATGAGACCAAAACTGGCAGAGACCAGTTTAACACGTTTGGATTTTCAGCATTCAAAAACTTCATTTTTACTTGTGGATGTGCGTAGCTTCAGGACTTCTCTCTTGGCTTCAGCATTTCTAATACGTGAAGCCTCACATTATTTTCTTTGCTCTGTGATTACTGCTCTCCAACTGGGTCTGCCAGGAACTTAGCTCATCCATGTCAAGGGATTCATGTTGGAATGCGAACAAGACGAAGAACAAACACATCACACAACACATACCATTTTAGCCATCCTTTGACTTCGCGTAACAAGACACAAATAATAAATATACCTGTATACAAATTAATGAAGTAAGTAAAACCAGGCTGATAGAAATAGAATATTATTCTTTTATTTACGTTCACTTGCATTGATACTTCTGACTTTCCTTCCTTCATTGGAAACAGATACAGTAACTAACACTATAAGGAACAAACTAAAGGCACACAGAAAAGACCGATAGGCCTATTGTGCGGGATACATCACAGATTTCCTTTGTCTTCAATGACGATTAGTTGAACATTCAATTCATAAACAAATCAGGAAGCACTGTGTATTGGAACTCATTGAACGCACTGAATGTCTGCATGTTATTGTAAATTATGAAAATAAAAGTAACTGAACATATGTATTTTTCGCAGTATCTCTTTTACTTTTAAAACTTTAAAGATCAAGGGACACTGAGTGGGTTGAAGTACAGGAAGCGTAACTGCTCCATTGAATCGATGGACTGCTACAAAAACTGCACACCCTTTGTAACAGAGGTCAAGACTGTACTTCTCTGCATTATTATTTTTTCTCCTCTCTTTTCTATAGATGGGTCATTCCACAAAAAATGAAACTACAGCAAAACACGAATCGTGGAACTGATAATCTGCTGAAGAAAATTTGATGCGGTGATAGAGCCACTATTTTATTTTTTATCCTGGGTCCTGATTTTGGCGCCGATATTTGGAGGTTACAAAAAAATGAGTTGACATGGTGCAAATTGTTGTTTCAAGAAAAACAAGATGATGGTGGTGATGATGACGGTGACAATAAAGATGCTGTAATGTTGGAAATAATGTGCATGTTAATCTTAGTGCTAAGTCATTTCTGTTTTTAAATGCATAAGATGAATATTTGGAGTGATTTTCTTTCAGTCAGAACACAACGTTTTATGTTACTGTGGTACATTGTATTGTATTGTAAAGCGCTCAGAGCCTGTGTACTCTAATCGGGGTTGAGCGCTATATAAATGTCATATTAAGTGTATTTTATTTTTTTGTTTGGCGCTTACTCTAGATCTGGGGGCAGGACACAATCCTCAGATAGAGCCATTATTAGTTTTTCTTTGTTACAAGCATCCTTCCCCTTACCAACCCCCCCCCCCCCCCCCCCCCCCCCCACAAAAAAACACCCTGGCTCTAGCACTGCAAGGATTTTTTTTTCAGCAGATCATCATCCCCATGTTACATGTGTCACTGCAGTTTCATTTTTCATGGAGTGGCCCAGATGTTTTGCCCGAGGGTCTGGTGTAGGAAAAAATAGATGCTCAAAATCTCACAACATAAGATCCACTTTCATTGTGGTCTATATAATGTGTCTAGCAGGGCAGTAAGCTTTTACTAATACAAAAGTACATTGCACTTATAATTAAGGGATATGTGAAAATATTTTGACGATATCAAAATGGTATTGAGACAAAAATTGGCAAACACAATCCAGACATAGCAAAAAGGACCAGCAATAAAGAGAACGATAAGGAGAGGTGGTGATGACTGTGGTCGAGCATGAAAACACTTTAATGATATGATATCACAATGGTAATGCGGCAAAAATTGGCAAAAAGAATCAGAAATATAAAGAAGGATGAGGAAGGATGGTACTGACAGTGGTGGAGGTGTGTGTAAGTCTTACACACACCTAGATCTAGTAAGTGTGAGTGTGTGGGGGCGGGGGGTTAAGGTATGGGGTAGGATGAGAATCCCACTGACAAAACACAGCCTCACAGGTAAGCTCAGTTTTTAAAACAATCTTTAAGTATATGAGAGAAAAACATTCATAAAGGGAGAAAAGTAGATTATACCAAAAGCAAAGAAAAAAAAACAACAAACAAACAAACAAACAAAAACTTCCAGCCAAAGCTGCTGAACTTGGAATGCACAAAATATTTTATGACTCTGCATCAAAGCACCTTGCATATTCAGAGACACATAGATGTACCACACAAGAACAAAACATTATTCTACACTCCATGACAAAAGAATTACAAAAATATATATTCAGGGAAGTCATAGGAACAGTAGCACAATCAGACTGTCTCTTGAGTCAATCAAAATAAGGTTCCAGGCCATGACATTACATTATTCAGAAGCAGACACAGAAGAGACAAATAATGTCACACACACTGAAACTAGTCCTGTGCACCAATGAATACAAGAAACAAGAACATATATAACCTACTCTTTAACTCCTGAGTTATGGTAAGCTGTTATAAGCTATAAAAAGTGCGAAAAAAAACAAAACATGTGCTTTCCACCTTTTTTTCAATCTGGCAATGCAAGGGAAAAAAATAAAAATAACTCCACTGAAAACACTGAGCCTCATTCAACTCTTAAAAAACAAAATATATACACTGTATCTACAGTAATGTCAGTGTAAGATGAACATTTTCCATTTTTAAAAAACAAACAAAAAACAAATCAACATAAAAACATAATGATCATGACAAGATTGTCAAACTATTTCTGTACCCAGGAAAGATAATAAAACACCTCCAAAAACTTCCACTCTTCACTGCTACCTCCCATAAGACCCTGTGTCAAGTGGGG